GGCTGCGGAGGGGAACACCCGCTACAAAGCAACTCGGCTTGGTTTGTTCTGCAGCCAAAAGGCCTGAGTGATGGGGCACACACACACACACACACACACACACACACACACACACACACACACACACACACACACACACAGAGTCCTGTTTCCATCACTTTACAGAAGATTCCTTGGACTTGCATCCGTTTCCCAGAGTCTTACCTATCTCAAACCACTGCTAATCCCAACCTTGAACTGCAGGTCTTCAAGCTGATATCACTTGCAGTTTGTCCCCAAAAAGAAGTTAAACAGATGTTTGTCATAAATACAATGTATATCATTTCATGTCACTTTTGATTTATTATTATTGTGCAGCTTCTTCTCAGGAGTTTTTTATTTTAATTTGCACTGAGTGGGAACTATGTTTACATACTGTGTTTTGCAGTTTTGCAGTTTGACGGTGGATGCCAAGGTGGACGCCGATTTGGATAGAAGTGCACGAGGATGGTGTGGAGCGAGAGATGTCCATAAGTGGAATGAATCAGTATTGATTCGTGCTCTTGTGTATTTCCCAGAGGGAATGATAGCTTTGCTCTCACTTTCTTTCTCTCAAATGTTCCCCATTGATATCACCTTCAGCAGAGAGTTATTTTATCCCATACAGCCATATACGCAGCCTGCATTCTTGGATTGTGATGCAGGTTCCTACTGACATTCAGGATGAATGGCTGCAATTTTGCAATCCCTTAATTTTCCCATTTGCGCCATTATCCAGTCAGAAATATATTCCGTCAAACACTTTGGCTTATGATCAAATATAACTGTAGTGTCACTTTACTTTATGTTAATCCAGCGTGCTAAACCCCTAAACCAAGAAGGTGATCATGGCAAACATTATCCCAGCTAAACATCAGCATATTAAGCATCATAGCATCGCCATCGTGAGGATGTTAGCATGTGGGTGTTAGCATTTAGCTTAAACATTGGCAATTTTTTTATTTTTGCAATTTGACTTCTTTTTCTGCATTTTCTCTCCCTGTGTTTGACTCTGAGAATGACACACACACACACACACACACACACACACACCGTGGCACTTGTCCTCTTCCCCTGTAGCGCATCAGAGAACAAAAAGTGGCAGCGGGACTTTTTCCAATCTCTGCAAAACTTTCCCATTACGAGGTGTTGTGGATAACGTTAAAGGAATGTGGTCCGGCTGCCCTCTCGTGAAACCTGCACCCGAGGACACAATCTATGAGACCAGAGAGATCCAGCAACGGGAACCAGACCAGAGGATCTCGTTCAAAGTGGAGAAACATCGCATGTGTTGCAGACTACATGTGTTCAGATAGCGATAGAGAGGCTTCACGTGGGTTAACTCGAGTTTTAACAAGTGAAATCAAATTCCTTTCTTTGAACTTTAGGAGGGAAAAAAGTGCTGGAATGCTGGCCAGCAGTTGCACGTAATCAACATGCTGGGGAGGCTGATACGTTTTTGTTGAGAGAGCAATTCCCCCTGCAAAATGATGCAGACACTATGTGACAGAGAGACCTGAAGTAACACTAAAGACCACCTGTTCAACATTACAAATTGTTGTCCGACAGCTATAAAGAGTTTCTCTGCCATATGAGCAGCAAAGGTAAATCACCATGTACATTTATGTGGATATTTATGCATGCTAGCTCACGCTGTGCTTCATTCTAGTGTTAAAACAAATGAAGAGAAACCATCCCATATCAAGTAGACTCTGTCAGGTGGACGCGCAGCAATACCCCTGTCGTAAATTTGCCTTAATGTTTTTACACTTGGAAGATCTTTTTTTCTGAATGAATGCAAAGATCACATGCTAGTTCGTTTCAATGATTGCTTACACTTGTTATTGTTTAGTCTTGAGGAGCATTGCATCCAATCCTATGTAAATACAGATAGTAAAGAGATTTACAGCATGATAGTGTTCAAACAGTTTTTCACACCTTTCAGGTGAATGCGGAAGCAGTTTCAGTCTTGTTGAAGCGTTTATGGCCGGCCTGCAGTGCACACATTAACATGGTGGTAAACACTTCTTAACATGGAGTAGAACACTGAATGGGGTTCAGATAATCTTCATCCCGGGTCAAGGAAAGGACAAGCAGGAGGACAACTCACATGGCTTTGAAATGAAACTGAATCAAAAGCAGGAGGAGGCGACCTAATGGGGCGCATGAGTCTGTCGTCCTGCTGATGGAGGAGGTGGTGGTGCTGGGAGGTGTGTTGTGGTTTCTACTGGTTAAAGTGAAGAATTGGCACCAGTCAAACAAACTGCAAACAGAATCGATTAAATACACTTCCGCAACATTTTCATCAGAAAAAATTCTTTGTTGAGTTCCCAAAACGCTGCAACGGCCGACATTACAACGATACAACGCGTAGCAGTACAAGTAAAAGGAGGGCAGGGGATTCAGCATCACAGTTCAACGGAAGTCCACTGGTTTGAAGTATTAGTGCCATACTGTGAGAGGCACAGTGGAAGATGTGTGTCACTTACCTGCCGCGTGTGCGTGTAGAATGTGAACGCAACAAAGACACACATCCAAACCCTGAGTGGAGTTCTCCTGTTCCATGAGACAAGACGCCGTTGGTCATGAGCGGTGACCCAAAGAGAGGACTCACCTGTCTGACCTCCTCCTCCTCCTCCTCCTCCTCCTCCTCCTCCAGCACTTAGTTCTCTCACTCGACCGTGTAACCTCTCCTCTAGTCTGAGTCCACATCAGCCGGCACGCAGGCCGAGGGACCTCCGAGCGTCGCGTCCGAGTGAAATGTCGAGATAACCGAAGCATGAGAGTAAAGTGTTTCATTTATTATGTTAGTTATGGCCTGTTAGGGTCCGTACCTGTAGGGACCAGCGTTTGATGAACGCTAGGTTTTGCTTATTTGTTTTTGTAATTGTTTGCCCAAATTCAGTTTGCCCCACATAGGTCTAAAGCCCAGGCTACTTTTACATTTTATACAGGTGTTTTTTTTATTTTGTCCACCCTATTCATGTTAACGAGGTTTGGATGAATAACAGAGGTCTGTTTAACAGCCCCAAAGAATGCATCCCCCAAATAATCATAAAATTGACTCCTTAATAAAAGTCACATTTACGACAGCACAGATCTAACAAAGACCCCCATAGAGACAGTAAAGGACTTATAAGTTCATCTAAACCAGCTGAGCCAATAGTAAAAAAAACAACGACTGACTCTATTTCAACATTTATTTAGGAGCTGCTTCATGTTGCGATTTGGTCGGTTTATGCTGTCAAAACATTGATAAGCTTCTAAAAAGCTTTTTACACTTCCTGACTCCCATTTAGCTCCGTTTTAAACCAGACGTCTCACAAACATCAAAGCGCACTGAGAGCCACAGTAAGATCGAGCGGAAAAAGCCGACCCCTGCAGCAGAGACGAGCGATCGGAAGCCACTGGAGCTTTCCCAACAAACACAGCGACTTAACAAGCCACTTCCTGCGCGTGTCCGACGGCTCCGAGGCCTCCGCGTCTACCGGAGCAAACACGCAGGTGGAGATGACGAGGCCGAAGGCAAACAGAGGAGACGCGTGTTGGAATTACACGGAGTAAATACGCAAGGAGGTTTTCTTTCTCGGACACACATCACATTTTAGATCTCGGCCCTCTGAGCTCACTGCTTGTCCCCTTCTTTTTCTCTCCACGGGACATGTGTGAAACATTTAACAGACGCTGCCAGAAAACAGAGAAAACATGAGCCCGCCCCCCCACCCACGCCAATGATAACTGTTGAATCCTGCACCCAATTTACACCACCCTTTGTTGCCTAAACATTTTTTTTCTCCACCTTGCTGCAAATCTGCCCCAGTGCGAAAAAGGCCTCCGTGCGCCGCTACAGAGACGGAACCTTCCGCTGCTTTGTCCTCCGCTGACCATTCAGAGCAGCTGCTTCGTACCGGCCGCCCCTTTTTTTACATCTCACCTTGTTGTTTGTGGGGGGGGGGGGGCATTCCTTCCCCATAGGCCTCCTGCTTACCGCCCTTTGCCGAGGGGACGTGCACGTTGTTTTATGTGCACACCCCGGGCGGACAATGCCCCACTTGGCCTTCGACCCCAGTGAGGAAAGCGCAGGCTTGATCTGATGTTGAGATCCCCTACTGCCATTGTCTGTGAGCCAGGGGACCCAGTGTTGCTCTAGACTGAGAGGGAGTGGGGAGGGGGGCGGCTCTACTCTCTATTCTCTTCAGCTCCCGAGAGGACGACTGGCGAGTCCAGAAGCTCCCGGACGCTTGTTTGTGCTGATCAGTGGCCGGTCTGGGTCCACTGTACCTTTAACAACAGAAGGTCAACCACAGCAGCTCTCCCAGATGTCTGGTGAATGGAACGGATTAGAGATCACTTCCAGCCCTCGAAAGGGGACAGTTTGACATTTCGAGTCGTGTTCTTGCCGAGAGCGCTTGGTTAGCGGGATTAGCTTAGCATAAAGATGGGAAACAGTTTAGCCGGCTTCTTTCTTATTTGTCCAAAAGAATCCTGCCAGCCCGCCTTAGATTTAACACATGATATCTCTCCACTAAGAGCACAAACAACACATGCTGCACCGATTTGAAAACAAACCGCGAGCACGAACTTCCACCGGCGAGGACACGCAATCTTTTTTCTATGAATTACCAAATGAGATATTTGACGCGCTGGTCAGTGAACGTTGGAGCTGCTGGTAGATGATTGAGGGTAGCTGTGTCCTCCTGCTACCAGTCTATGGACAAAGCCGAGCTACATCTTCTCGAATTTCCATCCGACCGTATTTCAACCCATTCAATTTAATAAATCAAATGGCGACTTTGATGTTTTTTTTGTCGCATACTGCAGACCAAATTTTAAAGCAGGAATAGGATCTGCAATTTAGTCTAAAAAGAGTTGAGAGAATGATTTTGTGACACAGTCAAACATGCACCATGACTCACATTAGGATTAGAAGTAATAAATTGCGTAGAATAACCAGAAAAGTGTTAATAAATTCAACAACAAAATTTGAAGTTCAAGACATTTTAATTTTGTTACTCGTTACACGTCTAACAGTTCACATAGTTTATAAGAATAGATTAATTTGGTTAAACAATTTTATTGACAATTTTACTGTGTAAAAATACGTTTCAAATTAATTTCCCGCTTTAATAGCGTTGGATGCAGAAGAGCAAAGAGAGGACACTGAATCTATTCATCTTACTGACAGTCGGTATCAATCAGTATAATATATTATTTTCAGGTTGCAGTAAATAATGAAAAACAAAATACAAGAGGCTAAAATGTGCTACTAATGTTTTAAACAACAGTATTGCCTAAAATAGAGAGTTCAACAAAAAATACAAGGTTATTTTGTTTGGTAAATAATGATTGCTTATGTATATGTACAACAAAAATACAGATAATTCCACAGTATTTCACAGTCTGTGACCAGGACATAGCTGTCCCAAATTACCCAAATGTGTTTATTTGAACAGGAACATCCAGATGTGTGACTCATGCCGTCTGGAAGTCGCATCGGAACAAAGTGAACAATCAAAAAAAAAAAAAAGAAATAACTTATTCATAGAACATAAATTATTATTTCCAAATATTTACACATGGTACGTCTGAATATCAGTGCATCGCAGACAAAATACGTATCTCCTCAACGGAAAAAGCAAACTGATGAGAAACCCTGCGCTGGTTCTTCGGTGGCAATGTGCTGGTGGTTGAATTGGATTTAATAAAAAGAAAAAGGGACTTTCTCTCCAGCACTCGGGGACGTTCCCTGAGTCGTATGTCAGGTGCTGAAAATCTGCTTTCTAATCCTGGGAAAGATGATATGACCATCATGAAAAAAATACATAACGGGACTTTGTCTTTCAGTTTATAATAGAAGTTTAATTTTAATTTTAGTCTTAAATTAGAATACATTTACTGTTTTTGGTTATAAGAATAAGGAATTTTGGCACAAAGTTATTAAGGACGATTACATTGTTGGGCTGCTTTGATGGTAGAGGGGCTTTATATTTTGAATGTTTCAGTTCTGTACTCGTTTTACCTGGATTATTTTTTACCACAGAGCATTCCTTTAAAAAAGAACTACATTCTGAATCTAATCTACAAATATTGCATATTCCTATTTCTCTAACTTGACATAGTGCTAGTTGTTACATACATGGTTAACGTAGTAATATTGCAGAGTAAATTTATTTTTTTAATTACACAAATTTCTTCATTTCAGAGTTTTCCTACAGTCCTGATTAGCTTAGCTTAGCATAAACATTGGGAACCAGTGGTCTGGGTCTATCCAATGGAAACTCAATCCATCTATCAGCACCTCTAAATCCTATTAATAAACATCTTGTGTCTTCTTTGTTTTATCTGTAAAATAAATCATTTAAAAATGAGGCGACGCCCACTGGGTTGACTGTACTTCATGGTTAGCATACAGATAGGTGAGTGGTATCCATCTTTTCCTCTAACTCCCCTCCAGAAAGGGAAAAAGTGAACTCGCCAAAATATTGAACAATTATTTGTGATTTGTTGACAGAAAAGATAGAGTTCCCAACATGATTTTCTTATTGAATATTCCTGAATATGCGGCCACTGTAGTGTTTATGTAGCAACAACACACACAAGGCATAAGAAAAACAACATCTGAGGTATTAAACCTCATTGGGTACTTGGTTTGGAAAAACTTTGCTACGTTTTTCTTGTTAAAAAAAGTTAAGCAAGTTCTCCTTATTTGGGGCGCAGCGGCATCACCACACGCACTGAAACGCTGCTCGGTTCCCACTAACCAGAGACCCTGACAAACAGGTAAGTGCTCAGGGCGAAGCACTACTGCACCACTACCTGCAGCCGCAGGACTCTACCACCATGTCCTCGTACTGTTTGTAGACCACGTTGTTTCCTGAGTCGATGTAAAGGATGCTGATGGGGCTGAGCTTGGACGGGGCGCAGCAGCTGGGCGGCATGTTGCTGGGGGTTCATTGAATTCATCAGAGTCTGGATAATGGCGTGGTTGGTGGGCTCCAAGTGGGAGCGCAGGGGGAAGTCGCACACCCCCTCGCAGTGGTAAGCTTCATAATCGAGCGGGGCGATGATCCAGTCGTCCCAGCCCAGGTCTCTGAAGTTAACGTGCAGCGGCTTCTTGCTGCACCGGGTCTTGGACTTCTTGCCGTGTCTCTTCCCGTGGCGGGTCTTGGACGCCGGTGTCCTCCTCCTCCTGCTGGCCTTGGCACCAGGGCCCCTCTCTTTGGCCTTCCTCGCTGGACCCAGCAATGCTCTCCCCTCCCTCCTCTCGCTGAAGAGGGTCTGCCTCTTCTTGGACCTGGTGAACACCACCAAGATGGCCTTCTTCTGCTGTGGCCTGCCGAGCCTGTGCAAGCCCAGATGCTGCAGGTCCAGCTCCCTCTCCGGGTTGTCCAGCATGGCCCTGAGCTCCAGGCAGAAGTGCTTCCCCTGGCTCATGTGCTGCTGCTCTTTGAATATTTCCCACACGTCCAACACTTCCCACTTCGGCCTCTGGGAGTCCTGCAAGTCCAGCGTTTTGGATTCGAGCAGTTGACGGTCGTGGCAGGAGAGGAGCTGGACGTCGACGGGCTCTGTTTCCGATATCCTGAAATTCCCAGACACTTTGGTGTATATCCTGAGCTCCGCTCCCAGCACCTCCGCCTTCTTGGACAGCGTGGAGACGTCGAACAGATACTGCTGTCTCCTCAGAGGGAGGAGTGGGAGGTCATCTGTGGAAAGCATTAAAGCAAGCGGGTCAGACGCATTCTCGCGGGGACGATGTGCATACCACAAAGATGTGGAATCTGACAGGAAAAATCCCAGTATCGTCTGCACCGAATTAATGTGGGAGACAAAGTATGAGTCATGGGTGTTCTATCAATCCTACCTGCACGCACGTAAAACACACACTCACACACACACAAACAGTTGTGCTTCATTCACGTTAGAGTATATGCATCCTAACCCAAACATGTCCTAGTCCTAATCTTAACCCAGACCTATTCCTAATCCTAACCTTAAACCAAGTCTTCACACTAAAATGTAATGATTTACTTTATGAGGCCTTTTTGCCAAAAGTGAAGTGAGTCCCCAAATTTTGTTCAGAGATTTACGTGCATAACACACACACACACACACACACACACACACACACACACACACACACACACACACACACACACACACACACACACACACTGCAACGCCTGCACTTACCTTGTCCACTGTCCACAAAACTCGCAATGGTGTTCGCCGCTTTGGAGGAGCGGAAGAAGCTGGCGTTCAGTCCCAGTCTCTCCGCCGTGGAGAAGGTCTTATAAATAGACATCATGTAGTCGTGCGGCTCAATGGAGTCTTTAGAAGTCGCTTTATTGTGTCTGTCGAGTGACGGCCTCGCGTAAAACTCCTTGAAGTATTTAGAGGCTTCTTGTCCATCAACGATCCGCGACACCTTGCTGCTCTTTGGGGCCGCTCGAGGGGAAATGGCGAGAGTGTAAGAGCCGGGGATCCCCCAAACAAACAGCAGAGCCCCGCAGAGGGAAGCGACGTGATAGAGATCCATCCTCCGGTCTCGTCCCGAGTCAGAGCTGTGGCCGGGGAGAGGTGGAGGGGACCGCGGGCCGAGCCGGAGCTGAACTCTGCATCCAGTCCGCAGCAAGTGGCTACTCCGCGAAAGTGCGCACAAATCCGGCGGACAGGCGGTGCAAAAGTAGAAAAAAATAATAATAAAGGGGGGTGGGGGGCGAGAACACGCCCACATTGTGTTGTTAATGTTAAAAGGAGGTCGCAAATTAAGGTTGTAAAACTAATTGTTCCTCCGTCGGCCGTCACCTCCCTCCCCGGCGGAGGCAGATGCGCGCTGAAAGGATGCTCTCCAACTTCTGCTGCATTTGTGGACGCTCACAAAAGTGTTTTTTTTTTTTTTTTTTGGTCTGCAGAACTTTTTCTCTGTTCAAGCAGAACTCGTTTCACCATAGCAACCGTGTCCCCGTCGAGGACGCATTCGGGATATACCGCGGGGTCTCCCGCCCTCTAGCGAGACGCGGACATATCGCCGCGCTGCTGCCGCGCAGAACGAGACAGCCAATCAGCGGCTTCAGCACCACGGACAGGGCCTTCGCTCGAGCAGTGGATTACGTAATAAAGATAAAAACACTGACGTTCATCAATTACTAATACAATTAATTGATAAGAGAGACTGCGAAAGCTTTATGAAAGGGACTGGGCTCAGACCTTTATGTTTATTGTTATTATTAATCGGGAATATATCCACTACCTCCTGCATATAGATTTCATGTAACTAATGCTGTAAATTTATTTGTGAATGACTCTTTCAGATGTTGTTATTATTATTATTATTATTATTATTATATGTTATAACAGATCTGAACAATACAGATATATTAATAAAGTGTATTGCTACTTTTGCATTCGAGACAGGAGTTGTTGTCACTAAACTCAAGTGCTTTTTGTTTCATGCCAAATTATACTACTCCTATGAGGGTACTTATTGACTCAATGCATTTGTTTGTTAGCTTAGTTACTTTCAGATTAAGATATAAAACCTATGTGCCGAAAAAGATAAGTCAAACCTTCTTGGCTTGGTCTGGTTACATATATACATCATATATGTTATATATATGTTTATATACCTATAACTATATTTATACCATTTTTATATCATCTTTTTGGGGCTCAAGAAGAGGCGCTTAATGGCTGAAATGTCCGTTGTTGCCAGTTAACATTAGCTGGTTAATTCAAAGGAATAAATGTAAAATCAGTCTGGCTTGTACTGTCTTGGGTACCATCTTGTTTGACTTCATGGCGAAACAAACACGCATACAATCCTCAGAGTCACCACAAGGGAGCAGCACAGAGGATTTCAATGGGACGTAAATAACTGCTCTGGTGAATCAGGTATGTTTACAACCACCCAAACTGGTTCCATCTGGTCCATCACGAATGCTTATGATGGCGGACTATTTAAAGAAATTAAAAGTGTAATTTCATTACCAACATACAAATCCCTTTTTTTGGACCGACTGTTACTAAGTTTTTCTCTGGCAATCTTTGCCGCCTTTTCATAAAGCTTTGGAATTTTAAGAGAAGTTTTTAAAAGTATGACAGGACGATAGGATTTAAAGAGCAGAGGTGCCGACTCTCTCCTCTAATATGAAGAACTATTATAAAAAAGAAAATACCAGTGTCTGTACCAAAAAAGTTAGGCAAGTATGAGGTCAACTGGTCACTACACTAAGAAACCAAGAAAGGAATCCATGATTTCTAAAATATTCTACAGTTTCCAAGGTTTTGTTTGTATCCTCATTCCAGATTTTCTATTTGAATAATCACGTTTCCTGTGGTTATGATTGGAGCTGTGAACCCCATTTCACCTGATTTGGGTGTTTTAAATGTTAAATGACACACAAGTGTCTGAGAGTGCCTGGATTTCAATTCTGATTCAAAAGCAACTACATTACTATCTTTTGAGTCTCTTATGTAATTTGACAGTTGAAGTTCGTGGAGACGGTAAATTGTCCCTGGGAAGCAGCGTTATGAAATAGTATTGAAAAATGGGCAACATTCTAACAGGGTGCCTCTGTTTTCAGCTTGTGTTTGTTTGGCTGCGGCTTTATGTTACACAGAGCAGACAACTGACCCCATTCAGCCCCGAGGTGAACTCCAACCAAGGGATCAAAGATGTGTGTGCATGCGACTTGCTTTCCACTTGCTATAATGCACGTTAGCATTCAGATGCTTTCTGGTTGCTGCTTTTTTCACCTCAGCTCCAGGTAACGTTGTCCTCAAACAGGACCTTCATTGCAGGATCGGCCGAGCGCTTTGGCTCCCGGTGCGTCTGTCACAGGCTCGCCAGCGTATCGAATGGCTAGCAGAGAACACTGGAGCTGGGTTCAGTTGGCCACAGCGGTGTGACGAAAAAACTCTTCAGAAACCCGCGGGGGAGGCGGACATGTGGGCTTGTGGGCTTTGGTCTGGGTGTTGACTTTGTAAGTAGAGAGCTTCCTCACCAAACAATGCATGGCTGCATACAGAGAGGCGTTCCACGTTGTGCATGAAGACAACCTCTCTGTCCTTGCAATTCATGGTGGTATTGTGCTTCCTGTGTCTGTCCAGTCAGTGGATGTTTTATATTGATGGTCTGTCGAACGGCCCACCTCTGCGCTTCAAACTGAACTGCCTCAACTATCTGTTGCTCTTCAGCGCTGTTTATGAGTGTAACACAAAAAGCATCCGTGTTTGTACAACACAACGTGACGTCTTGCAGGGCTGCTATCTCTGGTCCCACATTGATCCTGTTGGTTTACTGCCCAATCAAAGTGGAAGTGGAACATTAATCGAACCAGGAAGTCACAGTTACAAGTCAGGCCACACTGTGTCCAAAAGAAGCATCTAGGCCAGCGACGACCAAGCCCAGGAGCGACTGTATACAAAATGTACACAATGCAGTGCATTGCCATGCACGAGCTTTGGTCAGGTTGGGTGAAAACGTCCGTGATCTGTGAGCAGTGCCCGAGGCAGAGCACCAAGCGCGTCGACGCGCCGCTTACGTTGGGCTCCGGCCAAAAGCAACAGGATACACGGCTAGAAATGTATGCCATGCAGCAGAGTGTCAACCTGCCCATTCCTCACACGACAGATGAGACGGGCTCAGCGCGGCGTGGAGGCGATGATTCTGTCCGCCGCATCTCAACGCCTGCAAGCAAACGCATACTGTGACTGCCATCACTCCGAACATCGACAACATCACTGAAAAGCGCTCCGACGGGGTCAACTATTTATAATTCAGATGTGATTTCACCAAGTGCTTGTTGTTGGCCAGTGGGAGGGAGAGAGGGAGGGAGAGGGGAGGGAGGGGGTTTGGCTTCTTTTCTCTACGGCCATCGCTGAGGCTTTTTCCTCACTATTCATTTCTACAGAGCGAGAGGCAGAGAGACGGCTCTGTTCTCGACACCCCCCCCCCCCCTGCAAGGTGAGCCCTTTACTTTCTGGTCTCCCTTCCTCTCTCTTCTCTACAATCTCTCTCACACATGTTTACATGGCTACATGCTTTGTGCTTCTCTGTTTTTTGTCATTTTGTTCTATTCCTAATTGAATAAAAATGTAAAGTGGAAGGAAACAGCAAAAGCGGATAACCAAATGGAAACGTGAACATTGAAAGCAATCAGTGGTGGCATGTAACCGCAGATTCAATAAAGTACCGTGGTTACGTACATATTGAGGTACTTAAACTCTATTTGAGTAGTTCCCTTTCACAGTTCTACTCCATTACTTGCTGTTGTTTTTACTCCAATACAGACACCTTCTTGTTGAATTGAATGAGAAAATGTGTCCTAACCTTAACTGGTACAGTAAACTTGACACTACTAGTTACTTAATACATAAATAAACTGCAATGTTGCAGTATTACAAGTATAACTGTGTATTTGTATCGCAAAACTATACAACATTGAAGTACCTAGAAATGTAATCATTAGGTACAAAGCAAGAATAATCTAATCTTCCACAACACTTTTAAAGGAGCCATAATGAGTATTTTTATTTGATCAAAATCATTTTGATTAAAGTTGTATGTTGAATTTAGGACCTTTTACCATTTAATGAAATATTTCTGACTTCAGTATTTCTACTTTCTTCCACCACTGAAAGCGGTACAATTATGATCAGCCTTCTTATTAGTTCAAGGTAAATGATCTCTAAGAAAGTTAGTTGCGTTTTACTTCTGATGCTTCACTTCAAAAAGAGAAAACGTTTCTTGCTACTTAAAGAGAAGTAATTAAGTTCATAAAGACAGTTCATCACTAATCGAAAGATAACATTTTAAAAATTGTTCATGCTCATTTGCTGTAGTTGTATTTTTGCACATTGCTTGTTATATGTTCTATTTTGAACGATGACACAAAAAGCTCCCCACGTTTCATGTTGCTGCCACAAACCCTTTAATCTCACTGACTCTTATTTCACGTCTCGTCCCGTGGCTCACTGGTCAGGGTTGTCCTCTGCCACTTCACGTCTCTGGACTTCAAACCGCCATAAACAGCTCGTAACAGTAAGTGACAGACAAGGAGTCACAGGCCGCCCCTCACATTGTGGCCAAAGGAGGGATTTGTCAGGGGGGGTAAATTTAACTTTGGCTCGTCCAAAGGGTCCAGCACCTGTGCTGCAACTGTTTGCATGTCTTAACCAAAGGTCAACGAGGAGCAATTTGATCACAACATGCCACGCAGGGTTATAGGAATTAAAATCAGGTCTTTGATGCAGACGGTGGACCAGATGTCATGTGATTGTGACAGCAGGCAACAGACGGACGGACAGCTCTATGATATGATATGATATTTATATATACAGTGATGGTACAAGTACAAGTAATGCCAATAATGAGACACTGTATACAGAAATAAGGGTGTGATAAGGACATACTGTAAACACATGGACCAGATAGGAAGAGTCGTATGAATGTACTATGACAGTGAAGCAGGAAATATGTCATATAATATTACTTGTTCGTTCAACGCGTACTACCATTTTGGTGCAAACTGTTTTTTATATTTTCTGAAGATGTAAATATGTACAACGTAGATTAAAATTGGGGGTAAGGGTTCTAAAAAACGAGTTGTGTATTGGAGAGGAAGAATTGACACGACACGCCGATCTGTTGGCTGCGGATTGACTTCCTCGTCACTGTGTGGGATTAAAAGTTCTCTGAGGGTGAACAGATGGTACTCAGCTCCACAAGAAGACCTTTCACAGTCAGGGAAAGTCTTATTTTCTGTATTTTGGTTCAAAACTTCTCATTAAAACGTGCCTTTCCTAAGCTTTAATTAGTCTGATAAAAGTCTATTGTGCGTTTGACACACAATAGACATAGACAAGTATTTTATTTCAATGAACTGATTAACTCAAAAGGAAAAATCATTGTGAGAAGATCGTAACCATTATTATCATTTCACATATTTATTTACAGGAACAAACTCCACCAATATAATTCTGTAAATGTGTCACTGATGTTCATAGAAAAACAGCTTGAAACCAAGAAAGAGGTACTGAAAAAAAAGAAGACATTATACAAATATTATAAAGATTTGTCAATGTGGAAAGTCAAAATCAATTAGTCACATAAGTGCAGCAGGGAGTTTGTAGTTCTCGTGTCAGTGCTGCTGCACTGAGGTAAACACCAAGGAACCGTTGAGGGAAACCTGTGATGGAGGTTATAGGTCCTCAAAGCAGAACGTCAAATGTTTCGTAAAGCAGTTTGGAAGATGTTGACTCCTGCAGTCACACACATTTCACTTCACATTTTTGCATGGGATCTTTGTAAGCCACTTGAAGTCTTTGTAAGCTTGTTTTTTGTAGTTTGACCAAATCTTTACTCCATCTGTACACATACTAACCATGCGTGAGAGGCTTAGCTCGTGCATACATCCTGCACCATCACTGTGGATGTCAGTCATTTGTTCTCTTAAGGAACGGAGGTTATTTACTTCCCCACAGACACCACGCAGAGAATTTCCGACGTTTGTTGTTTTATTCTACAGATGAAAATAGCACTTGACTGGCATTGTATTGTATATCATGTTCCTCACCATAACTATTACATATTCCAAGGAGCTGCTACATGGAGTGAAAACCACATGGACTAGACACAAAAACAGATAAATGTCTGACTATATTAGTCACTTACTGTAGAATCAGATTGTTAATACAAAATGTACATCAACTAAAGTAAATAATAAAATGTATTTAAAAATTAAATACATGATGCATATATATGCATACACACACTGAATAGTTAAAAGTAGCTCCACCTTTAACGGGACGCAACATTAAAGTGATGAATAAAGAAAACTATCAATTATTATAATCTAGTACTGGCATCATTCTGAAATGGGACATTCTGTATAATGAGAAGCCTACTTCTGGTTTAGATACATTAAATACAGTGTGATGACAACGCTTTGTAGAGCTGCTTTAGTACATTTTGAATGCAATACTTTTAGTTGCAACTGAGTGTTTTTACACATACAAATCAGAGTACTACCTCCACTACTACTGCATATTCCTCAGGCAGGGCGTTTGCGTTTAATCCACAACACAGAGAGGGGATGAGAACACACAGCTGAGTACCTGTGCGACCAGTGTTACAGAGACATCTTCGTTTCCCCCTGAGAGGAAAGTTGACCCTGCCTTTACCCCATAGCTTCTCCTCCCGCACGACCCACAAAGTATCGCGAGATCAGAGCTCAGCGAGGATAGTGTCGTGAGCTAACTGTGCTTCTCGGTCGTTAGCGCTTGGTGCCAACAAAAACCTACATTTAGCAGTTGAAAAGCACACGGAAGCATCAGCGGATGCGTCAAATGCGCAGGTCGGGGTAATCCGAGCGCATTCCTTTTTCCAAAGGCGCAGTGCGTCTGTTTCGGTGGCCTAGCTGGTGACGATCGCGCTGCTAACGAGCTAAGCTGCTAACATCCGCTTAGCCTCGCTGCGTTCGAGAGGCCGAGGAGCAAAAGCAGGAAGGAGGGAGCGGACGAGCCGCCTGGCCTCAACGGTTACCTGCTCCAACCGCCCGTCTACCGACGAGAACCCACACAGACGAGCTCTCGCCATTCTTGTGAAAACGGGAACAGGTAATTTTGGCTTAATTTGCTGTAGCTAGGTTCGTGTTTTAAGGCAGGAACGTCAACTGCTTTTCTGTCGGTGACGCTAAGCGTGCCGTTAACGTTGGCCCTTCGGTGTCGATGGCTTTAGTCCGTTTTATCGGGCTTAACGTTGAATATCGATCACAGCGCTGCGTGTCGTCGCTGCACGTTTAGCAAAGCTAACTATGTATTTTATGCATTGCGTTGTGTGTAGTTTGTTATAACGTTATTTGCTGTTGGTGTAGCAGCACCCATGATATGCTTTACGTTGCCTTCCCCGACTGGTGATCATTAACTAACGTTAGCTGACGTTAAACATCCAACCAGTGACCATTGAACCCCGTGGCTGGTGTTACCCACATGCAGTCACATCCAGCGGCGATGTTCAGAGGGGTTTTATTAGGGAAAGTAGCCCTACTGTTGAAAAATACTATTTTACTAGTAACGTGACATAATACGGCATGTCTTTGTCATTTTTGATATATTATTGTGTACTATCACTAAAACATCGCAGCTGTTAAATGATTAAACTACATGATAATATAGAATCGTACATCATTACGTATGAATGGATTTACCTTTTCCGTATTTATTAGAATTTGCAAAGCAGCTAGTCACCAGTTTTTTTTTAAGTACATGCAGTGGAGTCACATGCACAATATTTGTAATAGATTATTATAGTATTTAAAGCAGTTCACACTGTCAAAAATTGAAAGAGATGAAAACGACGCAGAATTATTCATGCTCCTCTCACTTCCTTTTTTTTTAGTTGTGGCTTTGGCTCCAGCTCACTGTAGATAATGTGCTCCACCACTCCTGTACTTCTCATTCGAGCCACCATAGATGAGGGCTGCAGGGAAGAAAAGATTCAGAGATGATGCTATGAATATATAATACGTTAAAAAGACCAAATTGCCACCCCTCTTGCTTTTAGGCCGCTACCTTAGTTTGCACAGCTCTGCACATTAAACTCACTTGGTGAAAACGGCCTGTTGAGAATTTCAGCCGCATAAAAGTCCTTTCTTGATGCGAGAATGTTTTTCCCTAATGTAACATGGGACTAAATATTCTGAGAGAGCCCGTATAACAAGCAGTGGGACGGGAGGTGTGCAATGGGGTACCTACATTTTGGGTGTTGAAATTTGGAGGTTCAGCTGAAGAGAAATGAGGGCCTTTGGTAGTCAATAAAACCCTTGAGCGGCCTGCTTTGGATTTGTAGTGGCTGGAGAAACCCTGTATTAACACGTAGCAACCATTGTTTCACACATAGCAACTGTTGTCCCTTCAAACATAGAATTAAAGAGCCATTTCAAATAGCATTCACTGAAAGAAGAAACACTGTTATGCATTTCCTTGGGTTCTCAAAGGGAATCTTGAATAAGCCGCAATGGTTTTAGACTTTGATTTAACCAATGGAATAGCGGATTGAATCATTGGTATAACAGACGCTGCCTTTCTTAACAGTAATCAGTCCCTGGTGAAGTAAAAGCAGCATTACCTGCTCGAGACCAGTGACACTGCAGTAGACTTCTCTCCATTATGAAGAAAGAATTAAATATTTACAAAAATACATTTTTCTGATGAAGTAGGTGATGCCATGTTGCACTTGTGGTTGTCATTTTTGGTTCATGTGGATTCAGTAGCTTGCTGAGGGGTCAAAGTCACTTAACTGAAGCACTGTTTGTTAACTTTGTTGGTTTTAAACCAACAAACATAGTACTTTTTAGATCAGCGGTTCAACAATTTACCACAGCATTTGGGTCTTTTTATCTGACATTTCATGCTTTTATTATATTACAATCGTTGCAGTAGACGATCGGAAATGTCTGATTCAATCCAGGGATGATGATGAGGATAATGATGTTGATAAATCATACTCAACACTGATGTAAAATCCTAAAACCGGGCATTTATTAAATAATATTTGAAGGTAGGAGGCGCAGTTGACAACATACACAGGTTATGCCCCAAGCCTTCTGTAGGTCACCTTCACTGGAATAAATAGCTGGAGATGAATGTACTGAAACGGGGGAGCTCTGCGAAACGCCAAATGCTGGTGAATCTTTATGTAGACCATCATGTTCCACACCTCAGGTCATGCATTTTACCCCACGAGTTACCACAAGATCATCTGGACATCGACGCCCAAACGTCTCGGCTATCAGCCGACCTGACGAACACTTGTATCATTATAACAGAGTACAGACTCATCCGACTACGACGAGACATTATTGTTGTTTTTCCAACAATGTGCAACGTCTGAACCTCTCCGCCCCAACAAAGGGCAATAATTATAGGTCGTAGTATCACTTCATTTATTAACAGAGGCCGTAACCTGTTACTAGAAGGGTTTGTTATGGCTGCACGGCTGAGCCAGACCTCGCTTCTCTTCAGCAGCAGCCCTCACATCTTGCGGCACCAAAGCTAAACCTGTTTCGCGCTGCTGCCGGCTCGTGCGTCCTTGTGTCCCTGCTGCTCCAGCTGCATGCTCCGGTCCTAAAGCCAACCTGGGGGCCTCCGTGTATCATCGCTGCATTGGTTTTGACAGATCACGGTCACACAGGGTTTTAGGGGCTGCTGACGGCAGGTTCTAAAGCAGCTAAGTGTGAGGGCTCTCTTGGTGACGGGGGACATGGTGTCATGTACTCTGTCCGCACGTCCACAAACTAGGGTTGTCTGAGATTTATGTCCGTCATGTACTAACGGGAGACACTTATTGCACAATATTGAGGCGGCCCGGGTTTCTATGGCCAAGATGAAGTCTTTACTGCAGTCTGCTGATGTATTATCTATGTTTTAGAATGCTGCTGGAACCTGGGATTTGTGAATGAAGTTAATATGCATCTGAACAATCCTGGAGAATGTGGATGATGAATTCTTCTTTTTGAAGGGCATGAACATTTTCATCTGATTCATTCCCCTTGTGAACATTAATTAAATGTACTTGTTTTCTTGTTTAGATATTAAGGGGAGAAATAATTAGACTGGCCTAAAGATGTCAAAGGCTCCGGATTCCCCAGCTCGGTCCCGCTCCAGATCGAGATCCAAATCCAGATCTTACTCCAGGTCTCACTCGAGGAGCCGCTCCCGCTCAAGATCCAGGAAACGTCGCTATAGGTAAATCCACTTTTCTCTTTCTGACATTGACCTACAAGTATTAAACATGTTGCGCTGTAATTACATCTGTTATTACTGATTTGTAATGGGACAACAGTGATTAGTACCTTTCTAGTAATTTCATATTTTACTTTTTGAAAATGGGGAAAATTTAATCCATGCAAGTTGATACAACTGTATTTTTACGATATGCAGGCTGTGGTTTTAGCTCTGTGCTGTTCTTGACAACTGGTTTATTGATATGTAACAAGGAAAAAACCAGTGGCTCGTCACCCTTTGCTCTCACAGCCATTTTGCTTCAGTTATCCAGCGCTCCGCTATCGGCTGCACAAAATCCAGATTGAAAACAAGATTGAATAATGTGTTGCAATGTTGCTGGGAGCTGAATTTAATCAGATAAATTACCAGCGTTGGTGTGAGATTAAAAATGAAATAAGCTGATGTACAAATTAAGGTTACCATACTGTAGCTTCTCATCTGAGCTAATGCTAAAGGCCGTGAGCAACTAGCATCTGGGAACCTCAATCTTATGTCCATCGAGTATGTTCCAGATACACACTTGATGTTGTTTTGAACTCTGGTGAAATTCAAACTGAACATGGAAGTCGTTGTCTTATTGCTCTCCTTTTTACCGAGCCTCATTTGCTCTTATTTTGTATAAATGTGTTTCCTGTGTGAACGCCTCGAGCTGATTACGTCAGCTCATCTGCCTCCTTGTAATACATCTCCAGTCATCTATATTTGTGACGAGCGTTCGCGTTTGAAGCTGGCAGCCCGTACGGATAGATTTCTTCATGTGCAGCTCTAGGGGACACAGGCTGCCCTGTTGTTGCCCGCTCATGTTTTTCGGTTGTCCCTCGAGGGTTGGAGAGGCGGTGGATTGTTGGACCGGATGTTTTCTTTGGAGGCAGCATTGCTACACTGCTGGTCAATGATTGTCAGACAGAAAGAGGAGTAGAGGGAGCGCTCTTGGCCTGGTTGCATCTCCCTCCTCCCTCTGTGGATTAGAGCAGGTTGTGTCCTGGGTGCTCCCACTGTCTAACCCATGAATTAAAGCCGCACAGACCGTCCTGCCGGTGGGACTACATGTCCGCTCCGCTTCGATGAAAAGGTACACCGGTTCAATATGTAGCTCGTGTACGTAATTGTTTGCTTGCACAAGCCACCGTGGCGGGTGCTGTGTTATTCTTGTGTTAATCAGTGTCTTACATCCCACTTCACTTTCCTCTAGAAGAGGAATCTTGTGCTTGGATGAATTTTGTCTCTAGTCTTTGACTGATGGAGCTACCATTTGCTTTTGTAGGTGTTCTTTTTTCAAGGAAATCTGAAGATATAACTTCCTATTGGTTATCTGTGAGTTTGTCTTGTGTTTTGTCATCTAGTTTCAATGACACTGTTGTGTTTTACTCACCTTAGTTTTCCTGTGTATCCTAACCCTCAAAGCTGGTTCGAGGCACAGTAGACATCAGCGATACTATTTTTTCCTCCACATTTCCGCCTCTTGAGTGAATGACAGAGAAGCTGTGAGCTCCTCCCCAGCCGTCGGTGGGCTTACGTCGCCCCCTGTTGACAGTAAGCTTCTGTCTCCCGTCAAGGTTCCCAGTACACTGTTTAGGGACCCCGGGGGCCTGCTGCTGGGGGAGGGTCTACAAAATGGGGCGAAACTTTTTGCTGATGCACTTTTTATCTGAGATCAAATGATTTTGAGAAGCTGCCATAGGCTCCGTCTGCTGGTCAAATATCTGTATGATTCCATTACCTTACAGGTCATTTAGCTGACGCTTTTATCCAAAGCAACTTGCATTGCATTTTTAACCCGTGGCTTTTTCACATGTTTGCCGGGGAGCAATTAGGGGTTATGTGTCTTGCAGGGACACTTGACATGGGACATGGGGCAGCCGGGGTTCGAACGACCGACCTTGCGGTTCCCGGTGTAACCTCTCTACCCCTTGCGCCACGACGACCCCTGAAATGATGGTTGTGATCTTTCATCAGATGCCATGTCATGGTGACATTGTTTAAACATAGACCACAATCATACGTGTTGAGACGCAGCTGGGTCATTAAACACACTTGGCGGCACAAACAACCTTCTCCAGGGTGTTTCCCTCAGCACACTGTTGGCTCTTTAGGAAAAACACCTGAGCAAGAAGGCAATGCACCAGCAGGTGACAAACACCAAGCATAACTACCGGGTGGCTCTGCAGGACGTCTGGAAGGGAGACAAGATAAGAATAAATGACTGTACAGGCAACAAGACAAAAACCACATCACATGTACCAGAGCACATCCAAAAACAAGCAACGTAGATCTGTTTTAAGGCCCCTCCGGCTACATGCTGGAGACGGTTGTGTCACTTAACTTACAGTTGGTGTCTATGCATTTAGACTTTCTCTATGAAATCTGTTTAAATGACTTATTTCTTATTTTTTGCCAGCCTTAATGTTTTTATTTTCTTGTCCACGTTTCATCCGCAGTTTTGGCTCCAGGGCAGCTTGAAGGCTCCTTCTTGACGCTGTAGACTGCAGTTTGATGCAATAATAATCTGAACACAACATATAAAGTTGTCCTTGTGTGAGTCCTTGAGGAGAAGCTGTGTTTTTAAATATCCAGGGTTTCATTGGCCGAGGAGAGCCCGTGCTGTCATGTGGTCGGTAGTATCCGAGTGGCGATGGCGTGACAGCTTTCTTAAGTGAAGAGCATTTGCCCACGGCACACACTTTTCCCTGAATAACATAATTCTGTGTCTATCTTTTTCTCTCCCGTCCAGCTCCAGGTCTCGCTCCCGCTCTCGCTCCCACTCTCCGTCCTACAGAAACTATCCTTCCAGGGACTATCAGAACAACAGAGGGGGGTTCCGGGGCTACAACCGGGGCTACCGCAGGCCCTACCACTACCGTGCCAGAAACCGAGGCTATTACCCCCGCAGCCATTACCAGAACAGGGGAGGTGGCGGCGGGGGCTATGGCTATAAGTCCCACTGGCAGGGCGGTGGCGGCGGCGGCGGCGGTGGAGGAGGAGGAGGAGGAGGAGGAGGAGGAGGAGGTGGTGGTGGTGGAGGAGGCTGGCACGATCGGCACCACGACCAGGACCACCACATGCACAGCCCGAGGAGGGGCCGCTCCCGCTCCCGCACACCCAAGAAGCGCTCGGGCAGCCGGAGCCGCTCCCACTACTCGGAGCGCTCCTCCTCGCAGGGATCTCGGCGCTCCAAGCACTCCAGCTTCTCCTCGCGGTCCAGGTCCTCATCGCCACATCGCCGCAGCAGCAAGGGCAAGCCTGGAGCCAAGGATGCCAAGGACAAGCCGGAGGGCAAGGGAGAGAAATCGGGCCGAGCAGAAGACGGCGGCGCCATCGAGAAGGTATCCGGAGGTAAATGGATAGACTATGACACCAGCCCCAAACGAATCAGCCCAGACACGAAAAAAGAAGGTGACCCCACTGGTCTGGACGGCAAAGGGTCTGTGAGCGGCATCCCCATGTGGAAAACCATCGGCACCGAGTCCCCTCCAGCAAAGAGCCCTACCAAGTCCGGACAAACTGCCTCCTTCAGCGGCTTTGGGTTCTTCTCAAAGGAAGAGGCCAAATGTGAAGATAAGACTGTGATCTCTGCTGCATTCAAGAAGTAGGTCTATTCCTCTTTTTTTTACAGATTCAAGTCATGTTCTTTTAACTCCTTCTGACAAATGATGATCAATAGTTTTCTTTCAAACCCATCTATGCTTTTTCCGGAAGTTAAAAAGGGAAACGTATAAGTGCATTGACAATGTAGCATTCTGTGATGAAATCCCACTTATGACTGGTTTTAACCTGGTCTGTGATGTTCCCTGTAGGGGTCATATGTTTTATTTAGTAAGTAATAATATTGTGAGGCATGAAAATCCCTCACCTTTCGGCGAAATTTGCCGTTTTGAAACCAAAATAGGTGACCTACGTGAATCGTGTAGATTTGGTGAGGGAGGGGGGGGGGGTGTATGGCAAAAAAAAGGCAAAATTCGAGAGTCCGGTCTCGCGCGAGATATTTGCTCGCTCGCGGAGCGTGAACTTCGTTGCTCGCGAGGAGAATCTCTGCTCGCGCTCTAAGGAGTTTTCTACGCGCTCGCTGTTCTTTTTGACAGTAAGGGGGAGGAGCCAGTCACCATGGTCTCTACACCTGATTGGTCACAAACGCCGTCTTTGGATTGGCCCGAGTGATGCTTTCACACAACTATAGAAGCACATTTCCGAAATTATGAGATAAAACGTTGTCAAAACACAAACGGCACCTCTCTGTAACCGTAGTGGACCGTAGATGACAACCAGCTACAACCATAAGGGAGCGCGAGATTCAGTGAACTGCGAACAGGTGCGCGTGTCAGAAGGGAGCGCGAGATCCAGTCACTGAATCTCTTCAGTGACTACTCTTGAATATTGTGAAAAATATTGAAGAAATTACACTGACTACTAGTGCTACAGGCGGAATATGTGCGCGGGGGTTAGGGGGCGTGGCGACGGCGGCTAGTGATCTACTACCCTGATAACTGCACATATTAAGTGTTATAGGCAGAATAGCTCTGGGGGGGCGTGGTGGTTACAAACAAGGATGCGCGTGCAGGCACGTCAGTGGGCCGCAAATTACTTTCTATTCAGAATGGTGATCCCTGGGACAAAACCAGTTAAACCCCTAGAAGGGTAATATCCTTCTCCCCTTTTCACCCTTGACCCGTTTTCATGCCTGATTGTAGAGGGTTTGGGTTTATCTTTTGTATGTTTTTTTTCTTTTAACTGGAGAATTACGCCGATGGGATTATGTGTTCTTGTTCTCAGTCTGGAATGTTGTTATTGCAGTTGCAGGTACTGAAGCTCAGTCTGGGTCTTTGTTTCAGGTTCTTGGCCGAGAACAAAAACAAAAAGCAGGCCGCTGAAAAGGAGAACGGCCGCGATAAAGAGCAGAGCGGCGCTGACCGAGAGCTCGAGAAAGGAGGCAAGTCCGGAGACCTTTTCAACATCTCTGCCACTTCTTCATCCGACAAGGAGGGCAAGACGCTGCCTTTCTTTGACGCTGGAGAAGAGGAGTTCCTCAAGTCTCACGGGCTGAAAGAGAGGGACATCAATGAGGACGGCGATGTCAAAACCACCCTCACTGCTCGGGACATTTTCGGGAAGTGGGGGGATGAGCCGAGCTATTCCACGTCCTACCCGTCAGTTAAAGAGAAAAGCCGCAGAGATCCCGAAGAAGCCGAGCCCCTCGATCACATGGAGGAGGAGTTCTACCGAGGCCGCAAGCACAGCTCCAAGAAGGAGGAGAAGTCCAAGAAGAAGGAGAAGAAAGACAAGGAGAAGTCCAGGAGGAGTCTGTCCCCGCCCGCAACGTCCAGAGAGAAGGAGCGCCCGCTGTTTCCCGGAGCTTTCCCTCGTCGCGAGGACTCCCCTGTACGTCACATGTCAGCAACAAGGGACGACTTTGAACACAAAATCGCTTCTGTCGATGAGATGCCCAGGTAAGAGGTTTATTCATGGTAAACTATTTGAACAGATCCTCCTTACAGCCTTTTGTTCCATTCAGAGGACAGTTGACATGGTCCAATGCACGTGAAACATGCAAATCCCTCTTTTGAGGTCCGTGACGTCAATCTTATACACAACAGTCAGAATGATTTTGGGGAAAAAAACCTTTTGTCTGTTGTAACTATGAGCAGCGATGTTTTTCTCATCGTTCAGTGTTTCTTGCCTCTTCTGTTGCTGCAGTTCCTCCCTGTCTAAAGAGCGCCTCATGCCGCGAGAGATGCCCAATCCCACTAAGAAAGATCCAGAGTTTCGTTCCATTTTTCAGCACGTTCAGTCGCCACAGCTCCGCCGGAGCCCCTCGGAGCTGTTCGCTCAGCACATAGTCTCAATCGTGCACTACATCAAAGGTAAAGTATGATCGGGGCTCAGCGGCAACGAGACGACGGCCGTTTGGACGGTCGAGGAGATGCAGCGCACGTTTTGTTCCTTGACGTTCTGTCATATGCTGCTGTGCCTTGGATTAACAGTTTGTTGTTCTTTGTTGGCAGCGCAACACTTCCCATCCTCAGACATGACTCTAAGTGAGCGTTTTGCCATGTACCAAAGAAAGGCTGCAGAGGTAGAAATGATGAAGCCAAGGAAGAGCCCAGAAATCCACAGGTACCCACGACGTGTCGTTTTCTCATCTGAGGGGGTTTAAGCTTCTAGATCTTCTGTTATTGACCTCAGCGGTTTTTCCCCTCCTTTCTCAGGAGAATCGATGTTTCCCCGAGTGCTTTTAAGAGGCACTCTCACCTGTTTGAGGATATGGAGGAGACCAGCTACAAGGTGACCCGCCATTTTGAAATTTGACGTATTTGGAACAAGCAAATTTTGAGACGACCCAAAGCAGCAGTGTTCAGCTTTGTGCTTTTCTTTCAAAGGATGCGTATTTCTAAATCAAAAGAACCCAATTGTGTTTTGTAAGTGCCGAGCAAGCCCCCCAGCCTATGAGATATGGTTATTGATTGGGTATGTACGAGCCCAAGCAAAGGCTAAAAGGAAGTGAATTAAGATCCCGAATCCAAGCCTCTCAAGGGACGCTTATCAGTGCCTTTACCTTGTAAGTATTTTTCTTGAAAGAAAAAAAGTGAAGCTACAAAAAAACGCTGTAAAATTCAGTTTATTTCATTAAGCTACATGCATGCTGCTGGTTTCCACCAATACTTTTTGTTTTATTGTCAAAAGCCATTTTTAGCAATATTTTCTGTCACTATATTTTTCCTAACCACTAGAGGGAACACAACACTTGGTAATTTGTAATGCACTGATTAGACTTTTATGTTAACCAAACACATTCACAGCATATCTGACTCTATTGATCAGTGTTACAAACGGCTGGTTTGGGGGCTAACAAACACGCGTTCCCGCAGGATCCAAGTAAAAAGTTCAAAGGCGACGTGATGGACCTTCGCCTGGATATTGAAAGGCGCAAGAGGTTTGCCGGGAAGGAGCCGAGGCGCGAAGGAGACCGGAGCCCCGGAGGCTCCCGAGGAGCGAGCAGAGAGAAGTCCTCTGAGAAATCCGGGAAACACCACAAGAAATCCAAGTACGTCCAGTCTGCGGCGTCCATTCGCCCCCTACAGAGTCAACGCGGCCACAGGGAACACGAGGTTACTGTTGGTGCTGTGTTGCCATGTTCGGGGACTCTACCACCACCGCGTAGGCCGCTCTACAGTACATTGTATAACCTTCCCAAAGTGTGTTGAGTCAGGTATGATGGTGCCGTTACGTTATTATTCAGAAATAGGAAATGTGTAAAAGATATATATCTTTTTAGGATGACAACGGCTGTAGAGTAATTTTCAAAGTCTGAGGAATGTGAATGCTTAATATGAAGCGACAGGAAAAGTTGAACTAGCCTTCACCGATTATAGAACATCCAGCACCTTCTCTCTTCTCTGGTAAAAACGTGAGTCATGTCTCCCGTAACCATACAACCATACAAATTCAGAACCACTCAACGAATATTCCACCACCTGTATATCCAGCTGTTGTGATACTTTATTTTTTTTTCATGAGAGACTCACCCAGCCTCGATGTTCTCTGCCCACAGGAAGGGTAAGAAGAAGCGGGAGCGCTCTCCGTCCTCCTCTTCCTCATCCTCCTCTCCGTCCCCCTACCCTCCGCCTTACAGAGGTAAGGAGTTCATGGGAGGAGACGGGATGGAGCACCCTGAGGAGTGCTATGGTCAGATGCGTTATCCTCCACGCGACTACTGCGGCTCGGGAGAACGAGGCCACTACGACGGCTACAATGCAGAGAGAGGCCGAGGCCGCGGATTCGTAAGTTCTTGTTACGCCTCGTTCATCTCTCCTGCTGTTCTGCTGTCATTCACCTACTGACGTCTCATCTTCTTGCAATTCTTTGTCCCTAATGGCGACACAGTAGACTGCGCTTCTCTTCTGTTCCTTCCTCCTAATGCTAAGGAACATAATGTGGATGATGATAATGATGACACATATTCCATGCACTACCTGATTGTTATTGAGGTAATGTAGCATAAATCAGCGGAACTTATCACTAAAACAGATGCCCATCAGTATGGCTCTTTACTCGTGTGTTCTGTCGTCCTATTTTCTTACTCTGACTTGGACCAAAAATGTCAAATATTAATAACAATACAAATATTCGTCTCTTATTGTCAAAAATGTGCTTGTCCGTTGACTGCAAGTTTGAGTCCACCTTGTTGTTTTGATTACAGTTCCCCAGAGTCAGAGGGAGAGGGTGGAGCAGGGGAAATTATCCAGGCAACAACAACAACAACAACAGCAGCAATGGAAACCCTGCAAATGTAAATCCTGCAGTGCGCCCTCCAGAGGAGGAGTGGGACCCTGAATACACTCCCAAGAGCAGGAAGTATTACCTGGTGAGCCTCTGAAATTACTAATTGATTCAGTGGCATGACAAGGCTCTCAAAACATGGGCCTTTTTCACAGACATTACGGCATGTCAGAGTAGAATTTATTACTAACAAATAATAGAGGGAATAAAACCTCAATTTAGTTCCGCTGCTGTAAACACTGCAGTTGTGGGGTTTAGCGGCGTCTTTGTGGGCGGGGACAGACTCGTCCTGTCTTAGTGTTCCTGCTGTGTAAAGGACTTCTGAATTGACCTTTTCCCATTGCCTGTGTCCCCCGTCCAGCACGACGACCGCGACGGCGAGAAGACCTGGGTGGACAGCCGCGGGAGGGGCCGGGGTTCCATCCCGTCCCGCCGGGGGCGCTTCATCTACCGCAAGGGGGGCAGCAGCCCGAAGTGGACCCACGACATGTTCCAGGGAGGGCAGGAGGGCGAGCTGGGAGACGACAGCGCAGAAGTAGAGCGTAAAGACGCCAAGAGCGCCGGAGACGTCTCCGCCCAGAAGCAGTAGAGCAGCTGGCTCCATCTTCTCTTGTGTATTCAGTGTGGTAACGGTTACTGTGGCGATGGAGGGGTTGTTCTTTTCTGTTTCCCCCACCAGGTCATCATGTTGTTTATAGTTAAAAAAAAAAAAAAAATGTGTTCAGTGAGTTTGAGCCTTCTCACAGTTTGAGTGAAGAGAGAACTGACTTGAACGAGGAGCGGCACTCTGTTGCGTTTTGTATGTGAGGTTAGCTTCATTTCAGAGTGCTTTTATGTGAAGGTGATTTGTTCTGTTTAGTGTTTTGCAGCCGGTTAGCTCAACGGTTTCTTTTTAAGGGAGAAAATACTGAGGCAACAGAGATGAAGATTCTTTGGAGAAAAAAAAAAAAGACAAAATAAGAAATGCATTTGTGCCTTAGAAATGACATATACAGTATATATATATAGCGATACCTGTGTAATCTGTTAGAGGGCACAGCCCCGGCTGCGAGAGGCACAGCTGTACCTGTGCGAGTGTAGCAAGGCGTCAGATGATTTCCACCTTCCTGTTCTTTCTTCCTTTGTTTTTTTTGGGGGCTGTGATAAATCTTTGATGTTACTGCATGAAGCGTTCGATTCATAGCTCGCTCCTCGGGACCAATCGGTAGTGGGCCCCGGGCTCACCGTCCGCAAATTATCAAACACGGAAAATCTTTTGATGAACCGCTCCGAAAAATCAGATAACTTCATCCGAGCTTTTTCATTAGTGCCACTTAACCTGTATTTGTCATTAGGAAGTGAAGACATTTTTACGTGTGTGTGTGTGGATGGTGTCCAGTATATTCACATAGATTGTGGGTGTTTTCAGTTAAAAAAAAATTGTAAATGAATTTGACACAAATCCACAGATCTTTTTTTTTTTTTTACTCATAACCATCGATTGATTTAGGTAAGTGGCTACCTCCTTGTTTTAGACTTTTAATGAAAATGAAATAAAATGATAGTTATTACAAGAGGTTGATATGTGTATAGACTTATAGAACCTAAATTATTGTAATCAACATCGGGGGAAAGGAAAACTAAACTATGGTTCATTTTTTTAAAGACAAAAGTTGCAGTGAACCCTCTCGCAAAAAAAAGCAAACCACTGTTAAAACTCCTGTCAGAGAACCTACACGGGAAGTAAAGACGACAAAACGTTAAGTTCAAGGCATCGATGAAAGTTTTTAGGAGGAATTGACGCGACTTTGTTTCGTGAATCTCACTGTGTTGCTTGGTCCCACTTTTGACTGTACATACTGCATGTACTGAACAGCTGTAGGACTGTTTTCTTTAATCTGAAGCTGAATACTTTTTTACTGTTTCCAAGAGCTTTGGAGTTCTGTCTTTTAATTTTCAATAAAGTTTTCTTTGATTAAGGGCAACTCTGCTAGTGTCCTTGTTTAAGTCTACGTCTGAGTCGAATGGTTGATCTCTCACATACCGCCTGTGTGAAATAACATCACCCAATTACCTTACATATGTAAACAATTGCATTAATACATTTGTCAATTGTATTTCATGAGTAGTAAAAATAAGTTGATTATATTTTCACAGCATAAGAGATGATGTATATTTCTTTGTGTACGACGTGGATAATAAGTGTGGATATTGTGTTTTTGAGCTGTAGGTCCAGGAGCACAAACCAGTGAATAAACAATTCAGCAGGAGCACAAACCGGTGTCTCATTCCGTCAGTTCCACGAGTTGTTTACTCCTAAAACCCTCAGCTTTCTCCATTCCGCACCACTTAACCGACTCCTGAGACGAACCACTGCAGCTCTCGCACACGGACCCTTTTCATTGACAGGAGGAGAGACCAGCCAACAGAAAGTGGACCGTTGTCCTCTGGTCTCCTGAGACGTCCACCTGGAGAAGCTGTTGCATGGACGGGGCGCTGAGGCCTCTTTCATAGTCCCCCAAGCACGCTTCAGCTGGAAGCAGGAGGAAGGCTGCTGGGAGTAGAGGGAAGGGAAACACGAGGTCAGAGACACCAGCTGGGAAAAAGGCTGCCGGGTTTCTGTGGGACTCTTGATTTCTCTGCTGAGATTAGTCCGTGAAACTGACCCAACCTTTTTTCTGGATAAATATGCAGATTATTTTTGTGAACAAAAGATGTTAAAGTTAAAGCACAATACAAATACATGAATTATTATTAAATCATGAGTTGATTAAATCAATCCAGTTTTTGTCCCGTCTGATGATTGCTAAAGCATTGTTTATCAATTCCAAATCCAGTTTTAGCAATGGCGGTCATACCAATAAATACATGACATTTGCTATCGAACGAGACAAAGAGAATAGAACATTGTTTGGAGCTTTTTGTGAACTTGTCATCGGAGGTTCTGCGCCATTTATTCCTTTTAAACAGTTAAACAGATGCAAAGGTGTTGCCTAAGCTAAGCTAGCTAACTGTCTCTTGGCTCCAGCTAATGCTAAAAGATATAAAGATAATGACTATTTCCTTCTCTTAATTAATGCTAAAAAATACATTGTTTGATAATGAATAATCCTGATAGGACACAGAATGATAAATACATCCATTCTTTGGTTGGAAAAAAGGAACAGCTTTTTATTTTTTATACAGAGAAACGGTTAAATGCAGATAAGCCAATTTCATATGATAGAAATACTGGAAACAAAGTACCGGTATGTTGAATATTGAATTCATGAGTGAAATTAAGAACTGTAATACAACAAATGCAGAAAAAATGTATACTATAAACTAAACTAATTCAACACGTTTCTTAATTAACATTAAACATTTAACTTAAAGCTTGTTTGAAAAAATGAAATGGATTTGTAAGTATTGTGAATATATTGCATGTTTTAATTGTATCGTGTATGATTACTTATTTCATGATATGTTATTTATTTGAAAATTGCATTGCAAATTCCAAAAATGATTAAGGAATAATAACAGGGAGGAAGTCTCTCATCTTGAACCACTTATCCGACCCTAAACTTCCCTTTCCCAGGCCTCCACCAGCTGTGACTGGGGGATCCAAGGCGCTCGCAGGCCAGTGAGGAGATGGAATCTCTCCACCGTGTCCTGGGTCTTCCCCGAGGGCCTCTTCCCAGCTCGCCGTCCCTAGGGAGGCGCCCAGGGGGGCATCCTCACCAGATGTCCAAACCACCAGGGATGGTGTTTCATATTGAATTATTTTTTAGAAAGTTGTGTTTCTTTTCAATGTTTCTTCATCCTGCCATATGCAGAGCAACACAGTTATGAGCCTGTATCAGTGTTTTCTTGTTTTTCTACATTGGGGTGCACATTAGAAGTTCAGTTAAGAATCTGAGGTTTAAACTGGGGGCAAATGAACAAACTAGCTGGACTAAATTAACACGGTCAAACATAAATGACCCTCCTCACCACCCCGATAGTTTTCGCTCAATCCTTTGCTTTAATATTAGTCGGTGAGGTGTATCTTCACGACACAATCCAAGCGTCCGTTAGTGGTAATGCACTCGTCCAATAGTCCCCGTTCCCGTGACCAGAATGTCCGGCTGTCCGTTCCTCCAGATCTCCCTGACGATTCGCTCCCTCTCCTCCAACCGCCGCGCCTTCTCCAGCTCCTCGGCCGACGTGAACACGTTCACGCTCCTCAGAGTCCCGTTGGACTGGCTGCTGCGATCGCCCGTGGGCTCCGTTGTCACTTTAGGGATCTCCGTCTCCTCCCCATCGTCCTCCGGCGTGCCCTCCTCCCCCTCGGCCTCGTCGTCTCCCCTGCCGGACGCCCTCAGCTGTCTCCTCTCGGGGTGCGGGGGGGCTCTGCCGCGGCGGTGAGTCCTGCAGGCGATGCCGGCCACCAGGAGGCACAGCGCCATGAGCAGGCCGAGACAGACGCCCATCATGAAGTAGAGGGCGAAGGTCTCTGGGTTGGCTGTAAGAGTCAAGGACGGGTTCGATACGACCTCAGCCAAGTACTGAATACATTTACCTACAATGCATCTCACTAATCAACATTTTTGTTTGTATAAACTGGACAAATGCCAAAACATTTGTGAAAAAAAAGTTTATCTTGTGACACAGATCAATGGCCGGACCCATTGGGGGAGCCTGGAGCCTCCGGCTGAAAGGCCCAGTTAAAGACACGCAGAGGTCGTCACCTTTGATGTGAGCGTAGGTCGCCATGCTGTTGCTAAGCAGCTCCATGTCTCTCTTAATAGGCTCCATCCTGGTGCAGAGCGGGTTCAAATATCGACCATCTCTCTCCGTTATACACTGAACTTCAGCAGCAGCGACAGATCCTGTCACAGAAATACACAAGAAGACAGTTGGTGCAACCATGTTTCAATGTGATATAACAACTCATATTACTTGGTGTCACTGTGAAGCCTGTAGAGTCCGAGCTCGTCCAAAAAGATGCCAAAAGTCTGACAAAATGTGTTCCCATCATCCCTGTGATCCACGCTGGGGTCAGAGGTCAGTAGACAAGGACTTTGTGTGCCTCATAAGTGTTTTACACAACATGTGGCCCTCAGTGTCTGATGGGAAAGTCTATATTTATGACAGTGAGCCTGAGGACGCTCTTTTTTTCCCCCCGTCACAGAAACAAACTCACATGACAGACTGTGTTCATTTGGTTTATTTTGCATTTATTTAGACTTTTGAATGATGGAGATGCACCTTAAGTAAATGAAGGCTTTGAAACGCCTATGAATGATCTATAGACTAGCGGTTGAGATGTTTCCTTATGGACCTTTGCCGTTCCTACAATTTCAACTTCAATACATCTGGAAAATGTAGTTTTCTTTTCATAACTGGGGGAACTGTTCCTTTCAGAGATTGATGGAGGTTAGATGGTGTTAAAGTTTTGGGTTGGTGCAGATGGTGTCAAAGCTACAACAAAGCTTAATGTAAACATGATGACTGATATTTCCCACCCCCTCACATTGCCCGTCAACAGTGTGCGTGGGAATGCAATGTTGTTCTTTCTGCTGCTTTCTCTCCAGGGAGAAAACAAAACCGTGCCCCGCTCCAATTGCCCGCGTTTAAGGTGTGTGTGTGTGAGAGGGGGGGGGGGGGGGTAAGAGTCACTTTCCCACCCTGATCTTTATCCTGGTGAGTCTTGGCAGACCCCGTGCACTCGCAAAGTCTCTTTTTCTTGAGAGGCCAATTATACTGGTGGTCTCCATGGTGGCAGCTGACTCATGGGAGCCGGTGGGTCTCCACCGACGCCGCCTTCTGTTCAACATTTAACTCGCAGACGGAAGAAGCAGGACTCCATCTGCACCCTCAATTTGCGGCCCCCAGACATCAACATAAGTGGGCAATTTAGTGTCCGCTGCAGCTTGTTCAAAGTGTTTGTGTTTTAATTAGAAACTGGCCTTTGCACCCAGTCCTGCATGCTCGCCGATCAGACCGTTTATCAAACTTGTGGCATTTATCGGCCTCCAGATATGACCTTCTCATCACGCCATATTTTGTGTGTCATTTGAGTCTTTGAAGGAATGAGTTGCCATCTTGAAACACTTACGTTGTCATGCTTGGATTAAGTTGAGAAGACTGATACCACTCAAATTAGTACGGTAAATATGAAGCTGCTGCCAGCAGCGGGTTAGCTTAGCTTAGCATGAAGACTGGAAGCAGCTAGCCTGGTTCCTACCTGGTCACGTATTGTTTTAAACTGAGTAAAAAAACAACAACAACATATTTATTGAAGCAGCTTTGGCTGCATAAGCCGTCATAAAACCGCTAAATACAAATATATTCTTTACCTTTTTTTTGTGAGAGAAAAATTAAGTAAAAATCCTTAATTCTCATGCAACGTCCTTCTTTTCTACCCCTTATTTCCAGAAGCTCTCAGAAGCTTATTCCAATGCATTGCTGCATTATTTATATTTTTCATTTCAACAAAAGATTGAAAAGATTTTAATGACCGATTAAATAAAGGTTCAAATGAAGTTGCAACACAGCGACCTATTTCTTTTAAAACACTGTTGTGGTACGCTCATACTCTCCTTCGCTTGTGTCACTAACATTTCCACTAAAGGGGCAGATTGTTGTGCAGAGCTGGAATCACACCACAACCACCACAGGGAGACAAATGTCCGTTTTGTGCAGCCGCAGCTCGAGGGCAGACACATTTAACACCTCACATCTCCAGACAAGTCCAATAACTTCTCTCTAACTACACACATGCAAAGGCCCTGCAGCTGTAGCTGTTTATGTAACCCCATAAAATGCACTCCCGCTCAACCCTCCCACACTTCCTGCTTAGATAATCCGATTTGAGTCAAAAGATGAAACGAGAAACCATCGCAAATGACACTTGTTATTTTACAGTAGTCAAATGTCTTCTGTCTCAGACAGGGAATATTTCCACCCATCGCAGTAGAATGGGATTACAAGTTGGCTTAATTAAGTATAAAAATACATAAAAAGAAACAAGGTTTCAAGTATTTATTTGTAGCTACCGCGACTATAAAGGATTTTATGGTTTGTGGTACTGTGAAGAACACGGTCCGGACGCTACTAATGAAGGAGTTTGTTACCCTGTTTACTGCCTGACAGCAGTTACTTATATATACGTAAAAAGGTCCAACAGGGGAGCCTCTTTAACGGGGAGCATCCTTGAACAAAAATGACATTTGTTAGATGAATAAAAGTAAAGGGTAAACGTCATCTGAAGTCATCACTCACCTCACGTTCCACTGGAAAAACAAACACTTTAGATCCACATGTGGAGCTTCTCCGTCAGCCTTGCTTGGGTACGATCCCATCACTTGGACGGAGGAGCAGCACGAGCCCGTTGGTCACTGCGTGATTGTGACGGAGGAGCTGATCCACTCCCTGTCATCCTCCAGAGGAGGAGGACCCGCCACTAACGGTCCTCCCGTGTTCAGGAGGAGGCGTTTCCTCCATCCTGTTGGATCAGGGAAACTAACGCGTATCAAGCTGGCATCTGCCAATATGCAAATATTAGCGCCCAAAGTGCTCAAACTTCTCTAGAAATCCCCCTTCGGCAGCGAGTTATTCAGCTTCTGTGCAGAGTTGAGCCCCCCGCCTGCCCAGAGGGGGGGGGGGGGGTGGGGTCTCTCCTCTGCTGGCCGCAGACGTCCCACAAGGAGGTCTGTTCTCTGTGGAGCTGGGAGGGTGGGACAGGAAATAGCAGGCCGGCTGCTGTGGGCACAGGGCGGCCTCTGGATAAACGGAGCTCTTTGTGTTTTAATTTCAGCGGCAAGCGGAGAACAAAAAACCTCGTTACTGCAGTTTTTGTTGGAGTTTATCAAGTGTTTATTTAGTACATTTACTCCTGTACTTTAATTAAGTACACTCTGCTTCTTTGTGCTTCTACTCCTCTACGATTTGTGGTGGAGGAAGTACTTTTAAAATTAGAAATACTAATTGTATTGCGAATTGCGTTTAAGTATTAGTATAGAGATTTACTTAAAAGTACCAAAAGTAAAAGTAGACGTTAAATATGAAAAGTATTGAAATATTACAATTTGGCTTTGATCCATTTTGTAGTACTAATCTTAATCTGCAAACGTAGAGAAGAAGTAAAAGACAAATAGCAAAGTGAATTACTGCAGAAATCTAATTTGAGTACAAAGAATTGGTAATATTTCTTCATTTTTACTCCAGGAAGCAGAGACTATTTATAATGTGGCTGTTTTGGTACTAAAAAGTACAAGAACTGAGTCTCCTCCTCTGACCACAGGTGGAGTCGGTGTCTCAGGACGGAGCCGCGCTACGTCCTGTAAACGCTCTGTTTGTGCGGTGGAACCTCTGTAAAGTGCTATTCTGAGTGTGCCGCGTGTTGATGTGGCGCTCGGCCGTGTTATTCAGCAGAGACGTAAGCAGTCATTATGTGAGCTGCTGTCATTCAGATGCTCTGTCTCAAAAGAGAAATATGTCCCTAAAAAAAACACACGGGCTGCACCCAAAACAATGAGCCAACCGCCGAGGGACATTCCTGCGTGCATATTCCCTCTTAATGCGCTGCCTCCGCCTGCGCGGGGTCAGGCCAGCGCTCTTCCTGACACGGAGTAGGAATAACATTCCCCCCCTTCAGCAGATTCCTCAAATTCCCCATCGTGTTTTTGTGCCGGGAGGAACACTGAGCGGGCCGTTTCCTAGCGAAGGCCTCTCTTCCTCGCGCTGCCTGCGTGTAGAGTGACAGGTCGCTGATCACATGTTTGCGAGGACGCTTGTTTTTCCCTACACCAGAACGGCATCGATGGTGACTAATGTTTTCCAGCATGCGGACAGTTACTGGCTTACTGTGAACGGCAAAACACACTGAGGCACTACTGCACTGGATAACGTGCTCCCCGTAGTCTAATAAAGCAGACGCGCGCCGAAACAGACACATTTCATCGGGAGCGTCTTCAGAATTTTTTTTTTATTTTTATGGAAAAAGAAAAAGGGTATTGTGTGTCAATTCCAAACTCCAGTCCAGCAGTTCCTCGCAGAGGTTGTGCGTAGAGCTGCAACTATGAGCCAAGTAATCAATTGAAATAAAATGTTTTTTGAAAAACAAAAAAATGTTTTTGAAGAAGAAACATTCCCAAAATAGTCACCAGCTTCACACAATGTGAAGATGTAGAGAACAACTTGTGCTCAGGGAAGTTATCATGGTCACTGTGTGGGGTCATTCTGCAGACCATTCAATAAAAAGTAATAAAGTAATAAGGAAAAAAACAACTGTAAAAAGAGAAATGAGATCCTTCTCATCTCATGGCCCAAAGTCATCACAGGTCGGGGTCTCGTGTGCTCGAGTTGAGAGCAGTTCAAACAGGGGGATGTTGTCAGAGGCCTGTGATGAAGGAAAACACTATTTCTACACAATCGAATGAGAAAAAAAGTCAGAAAGAAAGTGTTCTTGCATTGCTGACTTTTTTCATTCCGATCCCCTGAGCCAGCTAAATCTGCAAAGAAGAAGTATTGTTGTAGGAGTCTTGCCAAACTCAACTTAGTTTTTATTTTTTCATCCTTCCACAAAAAAGAAAAGAGGTCATTTCGTTTTCTTGGCGTACTCTTTCCGGCCTCCTCCGTGACTGGCGAAGTTGCGGACCCGGTGGATCTTGGCCAGCTGGCTCTGCATGGTCTTCATTATGTCCACGTGGTCCGGGATGTGGACGTAGCGGACGTTCCTGCCCGTGATGAACAGGTCCTGGAGCTCGGTGAGTTTGCCCCGTCTGTCCCTGTACAGCACGTCCTCCAGACGCACGTTCATGAACGCGTCCACGTTGACCACGCGGCCGCGCGCCGTGCTCTCGTTCCTCAGGTCCACCGTGGTCACCTCTCCCTGCAGACCCTGCAGCAGGACCACCATGCTGTTCTCCGCGATCGCTCGCTCCCGGATGGAGTTGAACACTTCAGCTACAGGTGCCCGGCTCGGAGCCGGAGAATCACTCGCTTCTGAGTCCATGGACGCTGATGAAGGGGTTGTCAGGACGTTAGAGGGGATTCAACTAAACCAAAAAAATGGAAAATTACCAAACAACATGTCCGTGCTAAGAAGTCATTTAAACTGGTCAGCATCTTACATTTGTGGTATTTGAACAATTCCCATAGAAAACAGGAATAATAGCACAATAATCAAGTTGGAAATCTATGCTTTGATCTCTAATTATCACTGATAAGCGATGATGAACGAGTTTTTTTGAATTGTATATCAAGTCAGCAGAGACGCGAAACAGTTATTGTTTGAGGTTAGGAAATAAAAAGTAATATATTATTAGTCCAAGAGGTGTAATATATTTATGAAAGCCATATTAATTGGAGGGTTTAAGTCCGTCGAGGAGGTTAAAGGAGGTTTCAAAGCAGAAACGGAGAGGAATTGACATCAACTCCTATGGACTGATACTGAAAAGTAAAGCATCTTTTCCTCAAAATGAGCAGTTTGATTGTGAGACAGAAAGCGATAAAGCTTAATTCGCTCGTTTATTACACTGTTAGCCTCAGCTGGGACCAAAATAAGTACCTACGCGGCTGCCGAGGTCAAATGTTCCATACTTTACTCTTGGATATTGTGCGGAACATACCTGAATGAGTCAAATCCGTACTTCCTGTCAAACCCCTCACAGCAGTATTTGGAATTGACGCTGCACCGCTCGAACAAGCTTCTTCTGCACGAGGCGGCGCAGCGTGATGACGTGTCATTGCTCGCCGCAGCAGAACCACACTGCCCTCTAGAGGCAGCTTCAGGAATCACTAATAAACGGCTCAGTGTGACCCCCTCTAATTGTGTCAATGTTTGCAATATTTATATTTATAATATTATATAAAGTCATTATCTTTATATATTATTACACTGTCAACTGTATTGAACTTTATGTCATTACATGTAGTTATAACCCCATATATTTGAATCCATTACCAAGTTTAAAACGGTTAGAAGTGTCATGTATAGAGGTTACAAAACACAAAAAAATGAATTTTATAAAAAGCATGCAGTCTTACAATATTCACTGCATTCACTAGTAGTGTAAGTGTTGGTACTAAAATAAAATATAAAAGTGATGAAGGGTTTTGAAGTGAGACAGCTAGGTCAAAGGTCGTCCATCAAGGCCAACAGGTCGGCTCCTTTGTTGGTGCTGAGACTTTCAGGCAGCTTGTCTCCTTCGGTAAACTGTCCGGCGATTCGGGCCAGTTGGGTCGCAGCCTGTTCATCCTGAATCAAACACAAACACATTTTCTTAACATTGATGAACCTGATGAAACTTGACAGTCTACATTATTAAATCACCTTACCTGGATTGCTTGAATATTTATCACTTCAAACGAGGACTGCTCAGCTCCTCCTGAAGTTCCCCTGTTAAGCAAAAATAAAAGTCATATTTTGGGAAATCACTGTTATTTTGATAGCAGAGAATGCAAAAAGCCCTCACGTGCCCCCCTCCTCTCCGTCAGTCATAAATAGGTTGATCCGGAAGCCAGTTTCAGTTTCGGCCATGTCCTCTGCCTTCATGCTGCCCATCAGACGAGCCAGCAGATTGAGCTCCTCCTTGGCCAGCAGGTTGGGAGCGTCATCTTTCTGCTGCGGGCGGTGGGGATGTACAGCAAAGTTATACATTTATAGGGAGACGGTCTGCGCTGCACCGTCAAAAGCAAAATGTGAGATGATGGAAATCCGGTATCCAGATTCTAGTACCACTTTAGTGAAATGTAAAATGAAACGTTAATTTAGTGCACGTTAATGTGGCAAAGTAAATACAATATCTGTTTTGTTGAAATGGAGGAGAATATTACATAAGATAAAAGCAGCCCAACATATGTTTAAAAATGTAGTGATTGAATAACGTGTCTATGTAAAGCGTTTACTCGAGGACTGCAGAGTAGCTTGCAGCAATCTATGAATGTTATTTCGTATACCATAAAAGTTATTACAGAAATCGGTTACATCTTCTAAAAGCAGAGCTATTCTTCCGTAAAATCTATGCGGTTCAATACATTTTCAATGTAGGTAAATATGAAACATAAGTTGCTTGGTTCCTACTGTGTTTTTTGTGCTATGGTAATGTCAGATATATAGGGATGTTACCTTGACAGAAGGAGGCTTGGATATGTACGTCTCCTCTGGATGGTTCCGGCTGTATCTATTTTTTAAATTCATGAATCACAAAATACAGCAATATCATCAAATCCACTATTTGATTATATAAAGTGTGTGTTGTAATACCAATACAGTGGACACGTACATGTTCATGCCCAGTCTGATGACTCTGTCTCCATGCAGTTCAAAACACCCTTCTCTGATGGGGCTGGTGTAACTTCCTCCTGTGGGGAACTCGCCACGTCGCACTTCTCTGCCCTTTCTGTCAAACATCCTGTGGAAACGGGAAGCAGGTGATGACATTCGGGATTATTGACATGGTTCTTATATGCGGTTATAGTTTATAGGAGACGCAACACAAGAAAATGTCAAAGGAAGACATGTCAGCGTGTCATCAGCAGCCACGTCAGGTTGCACTGACGAAGGTGAGCTGTTAGACGGCGGTTACATATATACAGCCGCTTGTACGCCTCAGCAAGTCAAAGACATTGTTAGCTTGTTGCTAGCGGCATAAATTGCCACATTCATTAGCTCAAGTTGACAAATAACAGAAAAGAGAAATGTAATGATACATTTTTCAAGTAAAGAAGCACAGATGTAACTATCAGTAACTATGTAACTATTAATTGTGTTTTAAAGGGCAGCCTTGACTTCAGAAGCACACGTTGCTTTCCCAGCTGGCCCATGTTAGCCACTGTACTGCAACGCTCAATTCTTTTTAGAAGAAGCTCAAGGTTTTCTATGGATTTTACGACTATCTAAATAGAATATAACACAGCAGCAGTGGGTCTTTCAGCTAAATGCTGATTGTTGCTGAACTTGCTGTGCAACATAATGTCCCCATGTACATGTAAACCCTTTGTTCTCTTACTGTGAGAACACAATTAATGTCATGTGTGTCAGCGCCTTACCTGATAAGCCCTGGAACATCGATCCCTGGAGGCACTGGGCCAGATGACAACAAGGCAAAACGTCCGTTGGGATTCTGGACTTTGTTTTTGAGGAAAAGTGACACCTGAAAGGAGGGAAAAAAGAAAAGTACTAATTAAAAGTTTATATTTCCGTTTCACTTGCATGCAGGGATGAGTGAAAAACAACAGGACTCACGCGAACATGCAAGTCTTGTAAAAATATGAGCAGGGTTTGTCTGAGAAGCTGGAATTCCCCCTCTGGCAAAGATGAGTACACCTAGTAATGAGCAATCAGAGAAGAACACGGTTACAGAAGATACATGTGATGAAAACTGACAGATAGTATCCAGACAGTAATGTGTTGCACTGTATAGACGCAGGCAACTGATGGGCTTGAAGGATTCATAAATGCAATATGATGATTAGCGGTTGATGATGTGATAACTGCTCTCTATATACCTCAATGACCTTCCTGTGTGTCTCGTCCACTTGGTTCACAACCACTGGAGTGTGTTGGACAAATTCTCTGATGGTATCTATGTGGTTGTATGTGACGAGCAGCAAGTCTTTAGGCCGTGGACAAAGGAAGACCTGATACTTGAACGCCATGACCATTAGCTCGTAAAGCTACATGGGAAGAGAAGATAAAGAAAATGTCAATTTTAAGGACACGTCCCCTTTACAAAGATACTACCAAACGGAGAATTGTATTTCTTTTTTAAAATTGCAAAGAAGTTTAAATACTGGTGACTTTGGTTTTGTAATTGACAAAAAAATGAACAATAGACGGTCGACCCATTTTGAAGATTGTATTATTTTGATCATTTGATTTGAGTTTTAAACTGGAAACCTAAACCAAAAAAAACAACAGTGGCCTTGAAATAAATATCAAAACAGTATTAAAACAAAAATTTCCATCTTTAATTAGAACATTGACTTGGATTTTCCACCAAACACTCAAGCATTTTTTTTCCATGTACATACTTTGTCCATGCTGGCCTGGCTCAACCTCATGATGGAGGTGTGTGCTAACCGAGTTAGCACGGTTTTCAGTGTCCTGTGAGAATACAGCTGCTGGGGTTTGAGAAGTTCATCCATGAAGTCCTTACTAAACATGGCCCCAACAATGTCCGTCATGACTTTGATAGGGAAAGGGACGTAAACAGAACGCTGGTTAGAAGTGGCTCTTTGGGGTCATATAGAATACAATTACAATTAGTACATGAAGCCTTTGGACAGCCTGTAGGGGGAAGCCAGATCTACTCATGAAGTTTGTTTGCTTCTTTAAAAAGTACTACTAACTACGACGCTAAAATGAAATTACACTTGAACTATAAATGCATAGTAATAATGGGTGAAGGCCACTTAAAGGCCGGATTGCACGAACAACATGTATAAGTCACAACACCACACATGTTTTAAAAAGATGCAGCACTATCTGGGTCAAATGCAGTTCAACAGGAACCACCTGTTCCCCATAAGAATAACACATCCATACCTTGAACTACGCCCAGCACTCATATGCAAATCATCTTGCAGAGCATCTTGCAAACATCCTGATATGTAGAACTCATGAACAAGGGGAGGCGTGATGATCCGAGAGCCCAGAGGGATGGACATCCCTGTGCTCCAATGGGGCTCTCCGAGGGTTCTAAGCAGGAGCTGCCTCCATCTTAATAACCAATCAAAAATGCTCCTAGAGACTATAAGATTCGAGTGCACTGTGTATTAAGCGCCTTCTTTCAATAGGTCCATGCACTTTAAACTGCAGGACAGAATTTTCTTGTTGCAAATAAACTTTGTCATATTGCTTTGAGTAAAGTCTCCAGTCTAGTCCTTGTTTTGCTCGCACGACACTACCATTGATAAATCAACCTAGACCTTAGATATATAATTTAAAGTTAAAAGCCGAGTTACTCTGCTAAACCAGTTATCATTGTGTTACGGTAGTTTCTCCATCATGATTGGATTAGCTGCCACCATTTAGTTGTGCGGAATTAAAAAATTTTTTTTTGCAAGATGTTGATGTTGTATTTATTTTCTATTCATTACAGTAATTACACTAAATTCAGTTAGAAAATTGGGCCCTAGCTCATGCCAGGTAATACTTGACATAGTTTTCTTGCTGGTTCTTAATTTGTCTCTCTATAACAATTTCACAGGCCTTTGACATGATAACCTTTAAATATTTTCATACAATAAATAAGATACTGAAAAAATCAGATTCCTGTCTTAACTGTTTTCACTGTGTTTTTGTTGAACTAGTGTTTACCATAGAGCGCATTGTACAATTGACCTATAAACTCATTACAGCCAGTAGGAGACACTACAGGGCACTGTGGGAAGGTAACTATTATAAACACTTGCTAAAGCTCGAAGGACTTATTCCACTCATACGAGGACACAAGGAAGTGAATATACAATGATATGCTCAAGTACAACATATATACCTCTTTTTCTGTCATTTTCTGACCAGATTCCTGCAACCAGATTCCGAGTAAGAAAAGAAACAAAATAGCGTTGTCGTTTTGGCCGTGCACTTTCAGTTTCTGAACATCTGATAGCAAGGCTTCAGCTTATCAGCACAACCAATGACACACGTAACACGCGTACTAAGCCTCACAGTTCTCTAGCTACCTCTACCTTTCTCTGAATTGTCCTCAGACGTGTTGAGAGCTTGTAAGCGTTGGTCCAGTATGTAAAGCATCTCTCCACCCAGATTAATGAAAACCAGAGGGAGAGTTCTCAGAGACATCTTGCCGAGACAAAGAAGGGATTAACTCGCAAGCAAAAGCTGGTGCAGACGCAGGCGTCGGAAGCAGTTGAACTCCTGTCAGAACAAAAACACTCTGGTCATTAGAAAATGCATTATCTGATGGTTCCCGTTTTGACTTTCAACAAATTGTCCATGTTAAGTCTTATCTGATCATGCCTCTGCAGATAACCTGGCCCACTAAGAGGCAACAGGTGGTGAGGGAAAGGATCAGCATTCGCCAGACACCCGCTTATTGGCTGGGATAAGGATGACGTAGGAGCAAAGCACATCCATCAACAGACGGTAAATGATCGTAAGAAGATGTTACATTTCTGTAAATCACAAGATCTTGTGCTATAGGTATGATGCAAACATAAGAATAACGCTGAAGAAACTAAATAATGATCATCTTCATTTACTTAAGTAGTGTTTCATAAAATAAACAGTAGGTGGGAAAAGAGAAGTAACCTGAACAAAGCATGTTATTGTTAAATCGTACGCTGTGTAATCTGACTTCCTCCAGGCTTCTGGGAGAGTTATTGTTGAAAAACTCTTTTCTATTACATTACACTTTATGGTTGTAGCAATAAGGGAACATTTTGGAAAGTTTACTTCTTTTTCTGAGAATAAGAAGAATAAAAACACACTCAAATCTGTACAAAAGATATGACGATAAAACCAAACCAAATTTGAGTTTAAGTATGTTTAAGTACATAAAGTACATGTGTTAAGGATGACAAATGGATCCTAGTTCTGTCCAAACAATGTAAGTTACTTCACAGATATTGAACACTAATTTTTGTTCTAATACAAGTGAGTTTCTGAAATCTTTAAATTAAAGTCATAACTGGGTCCTACATGCAGTGACAGTAAAGGATATCCAAACTGACTCTTTCCTGAAGTCACATTTGACTAACTAAACTGTTTTATGATCTGTTCACACTTTTACGATGCCCACTTGTCTTTGTCCGTTTCTCTCCCTCCCTTTCTCCCTGCCATTCAAAATAAAAGATTAGAGAGTAGGATCATGCAAATGAAAATGTATCCTTATGCTCACCATTACGACTGCTCGCTACGAGGGGGAGATCTGTGCCTTGTCCTGGGTCCTGTCAACGAGTAAGAGCCTTACTTGTGAAACGTCTTACAAATTGTCAGTTGAGAGAAAAAGGTAAACATCTGAGAGAGAGAGCTGAATTAATCCTGATTGAGCTCTTCGGACCATAAATTAGCCGCAAAACAATTATGGGGATCCATCTTTGCCTTTGGCTGTTCTCTATGTAAGTCAAACCTAACATTGGTACTGTAATTTCTTCTCACCGTAATTCACTTTTAAGTATTCAAGATTCAGCTGTTTTTATTTGCCTGTTGTTACAGTAGAACCATTGGAACTTTTTTCTTCTGTAGAATTATTTAAAGTAGCAAACATCATGTTCCATTTGTCTTCTTCCCACCAGAATTACCTCTTGTTCAAGCTCATGGAACGGTTTCAATGATGAGCCAAACCTTCGTTCCACATTTTATAACCTCAACTGGATGAAGGATATACCTGAGAATACTTTAGTATCTGCTATCTCCATTCCAGGAACCTATGAAAGCTTTTCATTACATGGAGGACCACTAGTTCGAAGTCAAGTTTGGAAGTTAAAAGATCAACTTAATGTGGGAATACGGTATTTTGATATGCATGTTGGAATTTGGCACAAACATAAACAATTGAACATTGATATCCGGGATAAACACTTTATGTTTGACCAAAATATTCGATTGGATCAAGTCATAGAGATCATGTTAGATTTCTTAGAAAATAGTGCTGACACTGTGCTCCTCAAAGTCAGAATTCATTGGTTATTCCGATCCTATGTTAGAAAACTCATAGAGCAGTTAATTGAAAAGCACGAAGATAAAATATGGACTATGTCGTCAGTACCAAAAATGCAAGAGGCAAGGGGAAAGATTATTATTGTAAAAAGTGAAACGTTCAATGTTGGAATAGAGAACCGTGATTCTGTTTTATGTGAAAAGAAAAAGTTCACATTTGGTGAGGAAAAAATTATTCGATTAAAGTCGGACATATGTAACCATACCATTATAGTGACTGCCTGCGTGGCAGGTTTGACGGATTTTCCTAAAAAATTGGCCAAAAACGTTAACAAGCAGCTTCTAAAATTTCTGGTGGAACAGAAATATGAATTAAACCACAATTGCTTAGGTGTCTTCAGCATGAACTACCCAAGTCCTGATCTTATTAAAAACATCATTCAACTCAAGATATGCCAATGCGATATGCCGGGTTTTGAAGGAGAAACCCCTCAACCAACAGTTGAACCAGGGACTACAGCAGAATTGACTACCGAAATAAATCCCGACCCAACAACTGAACCAGGGACTACAGCAGAATTGACAACCGAACCGAATCCCGACCCCACAGCTGAACCAGGGACTACAGCAGAATTAACGACGGAACCGAATCCCGAACCAACAGCTGAACCAGGGACTACCGCAGAATTGACTACCGAACCAGAATCCCCGACCCAACAGCTGAACAAGGGGACTACAGCAGAATTGACTACCGAACCAAATCCCGACCCAACAGCTGAACCAGGGACTACAGCAGAATTGACTACCGAACCAAATCCCGACCCAACAGCTGAACCAGGGACTACAGCAGAATTGACAACTGAACCTAATCCCGACCCAACAGCTGAACCAGGGACTACAGCAGAATTAACGACCGAACCAAATTCCGACCCAACAGCTGAACCAGGGACTACAGCAGAATTGACTACCGAACCGAATCCCGACCCAACAGCTGAACCAGGGACTACAGCAGAATTGATAACTGAACCTAATCCCGACCCCACAGCTGAACCAGGGACTACAGCAGAATTGACTACCGAACCGAATCCCGAACCAACAGCTGAACCAGGGACTACAGCAGAATTGACTACCGAACCAAATCCCGACCCAACAGCTGAACCAGGGACTACAGCAGAATTGACTACCGAACCGAATCCCGACCCAACAGCTGAACCAGGGACTACAGCAGAATTGATAACTGAACCTAATCCCGACCCAACAGCTGAACCAGGGACTACAGCAGAATTAACGACCGAACCGAATTCCGACCCACAGCTGAACCAGGGGACTGGCGCAGAATTGACTACCGACCCGAATCCCGACCCCAACAGCTGAACAAGGGACTACAGCAAAATTAAACGACCGGAACCGGAATCCTCGACCCAACAGCTGAACCAGGGACTACAGCAGAATTGACAACTGAACCGAATCCCAACCCAACAGCTGAACCAGGGACTACCGCAGAATTGACTACCGAACCAAATCCCGACCCAACAGCTGAACCAGGAACTACAGCAGAATTGACTACCAAACCGAATCCTGACCCAACGGCCGAACCAGGAACTACAGCAGAATTGACTACCGAACCAAATCCCGACCCAACAGCTGAACCAGGGACTACAGCAGAATTAACGACCGAACCGAATCCCGACCCAACAGCTGAACCAGGGACTACAGCAGAATTGACTATCGAACCAAATCCTGACCCAACGGCCGAACCAGGAACTACAGCAGAATTGACTACCGAACCAAATCCCGACCCAACAGCTGAACCAGGGACTACAGCAGAATTGACTACCGAACCAAATCCCGACCCAACAGCTGAACCAGGGACTACAGCAGAATTGACTACCGAACCGAATCCCGACCCAACAGCTGAACCAGGGACTACAGCAGAATTAACGACCGAACCAAATCCCGCCCCAACAGCTGAACCAGGGACTACAGCAGAATTGACAACTGAACCGAATCCCGACCCAACAGCTGAACCAGGGACTACAGCAGAATTGACAACTGAACCGAATCCCGACCCAACAGCTGAACCGGGGACTACAGCAGAATTGACTACTGAACCGAATCCCAACCCAACAGCTGAACCAGGGACTACAGCAGAATTGACTACAGTCCCAGGATCATATCCAGCTGTGCTCCCAAATATTCCACCTGAAATAGAGATCAAACCAGAACCACAATGGAGAAGGCGTAACTGCCATAGAGGATAACCCAAGAAGAAATCTAACACTAATGAAAACAACATTAGTCTCAAAGTCCTTGGGGTGAGGGGCTCCTACATCTGTTCTGTCATTTGCTGGCTTTGTCTTACATTCCTATGCATATATATAAGCAATGCATGTATTGGGAAATATATTTTAATTTGTTTTTAAAATAAATATTGTAAGAAATAAATATTTACTAACAGCAATATTGGTTATTGTGTAGTTCTACAACCAAAACAAGAATAACTAACATTATTCATTAATGAATACGCAAGTGAGTATTTAAATGTCCAACAATGTGGACACGCACAGCCTCCGCTCTGGAACCAAAACTCCTGGATAGGGGGTGGACTCTATTCTACTCCGGAGTGGCCCATGGTGTGAGGCGCCAGGCGGGTGTGGGGATACTCATAAGTCCCCGGCTGAGTGCTGCTACATTGGAGTTTACCCCAGTGGACAAAAGAGTCGCCTCCCTACGCCTTCGGGTGGTGGGGGGGAAAACTCTGACTGTTGTCTGTGCATATGCACCAAACAGCAGCTCAGAGTATTCTGCCTTTTTGGAGACCCTGAATGGAGTCCTGCATGGGGCTCCTGTAGGGGACTCCATAGTCCTACTGGGAGACTTCAATGCGCACGTGGTGCGACGATGGAGATAACTGGAGAGGCGTGATTGGGAGGAATGGCCTCCCTGATCTGAACCCGAGCGGGTGTTTGTTACTGGACTTCTGTGCTAGTCACGGATTGTCCATAACAAACACCATGTTCGAACATAAGGATGTTCATAAGTGTACGTGGTACCAGAGCACCCTAGGCCAAAGATCAATGATCGATTTTGTAATCGTATCGTCTGATCTGAGGCCGCATGTTCTGGACACTCGGGTAAAGAGAGGGCAGAGCTGTCAACTGATCACCATCTGGTTGTGAGCTGGGTCAGAGATGGGGAAGACTCGGGACAGACCCGGTAAACCCAGCGTGTAGTGAGGGTGAACTGGAGATTAAATTGGAATTTATGAGCCACACTTAAGTTCATGTCCATGTATTAAAATAACTTATTTTTGTTCTTTTTCTTTATGTTAAAAGCAAAGTGTGCCTCCTACAGGGGAGGCGGGCGCTCTTATAAGTTGGTGTGAATGGCGCATAGTTGGGGGAGAAACGGGTTACGGCAGATACTGTCTTTAACCTCGACCTCAGCCCTGTGACTACACTTGATGGTGATTGGCATCGTAAGGCATCCAAACCACTACAACTCAATTGTTGTAATTACTCCTGGTTTTCCGTTCGGAGGCAAAGCCGCGAGTCAGACGACTGGTCCCGATCTCCCGGCGTGGTTAAAGCGATAGGACGCATGAATAGGGGCCAAAGAGAGCGAGTTTTAGCCGCAACGGGAATCACTCAAAAATAATCCTTAAAAACATATAGAGGTGAATACTGTATTTCAGGGATATATAGTGATCATGTTAATTGTATTAACATATATTTTCCCTTATTCAACTAGATTATCATTCATTCTATTTAAAACAATATTTCCTGACAAAACGATGAAGTGTCACTCAAACGTAAAGTGTTCCTGTGCAGCTGTTGAGTGGATCAGTTCCTCTCCAGCTGAGGAGGTTTTTGTACGACGTTGTTTCACTGTGTGAACTGGCTGTAACCCTGCTGACAATAATAATCTCCTGCATCTTCAGTCAGAACTCCTCTGATGGTCAGAGTGAAGTCACTTCCAGATCCACTTCCACTGAAACGATCTGAGATCCCTGACTGACGACTTGAGGCACGATAAATCAAAAGTTTGGGAGATTCTTCTGGTTTCTGTAGGTACCAGTGAAGGTAGGTACTAATGCCAGAACTGGCTTTACACCTGATGGAGACAGTCTGTCACATTACATTACATTACAGGTCATTTAGCAGACGCTTTTATCCAAAGCGACTTACATTACACTTTAAACCCATGGCTTTTTCACATTTTGCCTGGGGAGCAATTAGGGGTTAGGTGTCTTGCTCAGGGACACTTCAACATGGAACATGGGGCAGCCTGGAATCGAACCACCAACCTTGTGCTTTCCAGCACACCCTCTCTAACCCCTGCGCCACGACGACCCCGCCACTGTCCTGGAAGAACAGACTGAGATCCAGGAGACTGAGTCAGCTGGATTTCTCCTGATGAACCTGGAAAACATGAAGAAGAGCAGAAGGGTTATTGAGACCAATCCAGTTTGGAGAAAGATGATCAAGATCCAAACAGAAGAGTCTCATTTCTTCAACACGGAGAACAGGTGAAGAAGGTCCACGCTGCTTGTTCCACTGGTTCTCCATCACAGCAGAACGTCCCTGTGGAGAAGCAAAGCCTCCAGAAGAGGGTCTCACCCTGAACAAGGAGCCCCAGGCTGGTCAGCAGTAGACTCAGTGACATCATCATTGTGCTGCCGGCGTGCCAGTGTGCGTGAGGCCTGGACCGCCACTGATCAGCTCTCTTAAGGCGTGTGAGCAGAGAGGAAGGACACGTATGCAAACACACGGAGCCAGTGAGTCCTCGTCACATGACCGGGTTTCACTATTTAAATCATCTCACAAGGGAGAGGAAGCCTCTTAGGATCCAGACTCCATCAATCAGTTTGAACGGAAATTTGA